TATGCTTTCGGATCATCCTCCCAGACCGTCTCCAATAGCCCATTGTGCAGCTCTAGTGCGACGTAAATGAACAACATGAGCTATGAAATATCAAATAGATGTTCCTTTTTATGATTTTCCACTTTAATATTGACGTTTTCTCTATTCACATTTATGCGAGAAATTAAGTTTAACATTTCACACAAATAATTTCAAAGATTTCGCATTTCAAACTAATATAAAAGTGTCTGAACACAATATATTTTCTTCTTCTTCCTAATGGCAGGTATTGAACTTTTATGTTCTTAACCTCGGAAGATGCTGGAAGTGTTGCTCATTTAACGTTACCCAGTCGGCACCTGTGAAACTAAGTCACGGAAGTGATTAACATTACCCACGCCACACTGCCACAGATACCCGTTCATAGGGTGGGCCACATTCACACACAACAGAGGACAACACATGAAGAGAAACATCCATGTCCAAAACGGGATTCGAACCCGCAGCCATTGAGTACGCAGTCAGGCACGCTAACCGCTCGGCTGAACACAATATATAATTCAATGCAAAATGCATTACATACTATCAGAAATTTGTCAACATTTCTTTCTGAAAAAAAATCTTTATAGTGCAAGCATAATCAATATTAGTCCAAATGTACGCAAAATGGAATAAATCATTTTATTTAAATTTAAAAGATAACAAAAGATGCTTAGTTTATGGGATTCTTCACTCAAAAATTGAGTTATTTTTCTTCCTCTGCAATATTTTTGAATAAATAAATCTTTTCAAGACTATTTGTGGCTATAAAAGTTGAGAAAAATTTGTAACATGAATCCTATAAAAAATGTAAGCATGTACAGTGAACAATATAAAAAATGGGGCACCCTTAATAACTTTTGATCTAATGATCGGATCTTCACGTTCTAGGACTCAATCTTAATGGCTAGAGGGAGTGACTTCAAATATGCTAATTCATAAATGCAGGCTATATTTTAAGCTGCGGAATCAGACGCAAAAATGTACTTTCTCTGAATAAACACACCTTTTTTTCCCCAACGGATTTGGATTTTTGACCCTCAAAATATAAGGGGTAGCAGCAATCAGGGATATATGGTCCCCATAGTTTGCGCTCGGATCCCTTAATGCTAATTTTACTTCTTACGTGTTCCGCCACATCTGGAAAACTTTTTGAGCGAATTGAGAACTTATTGCACACAATTATAAAATTCGCTAATCCAAAAATAATTCCTTGCAAAAAATCAATTTTGGTAAATATTTATTATTAATTTTAGTAAAATTTTGGAAATTTAAATTATATAAAATTAGTAAATTAAAAAAAAAATTAGTAAATAGTAAAAAATAAATTTTAGTAAATATTTATTATTTTATAACCGTTTTTGAACAACCGACCCAATTTTATGGGTTTACGACTACAAATTTTCAACTCTGTAGCCTTGTAATTTTTGAATCCAATCCAGAAGACAAAGGAACTCCTGGATCGAGTATTGGGAGAAATTTGCCTTCGTGGAAGACTTTTTACTGGAGCTAACCCGCATTTGCGTTACATGGAGAGGAAGACCACGAGAACCTCCCGCGGTTAGCCTGACGGCAAGGAGACTCTAACCCATGATCCATCTAAAACTGAGGATAATTCACGTCAGCACTGTCATCAATGGAAGCCGGATACAAAACTTGTATCGACTGGGATTCGATGCCGGTTCGTCGCATTGGAAGGCGAACGCTCTATCCCCTGAGCCATCGCGGTTCGCATTATTTTATTTGGAAATAATCGAAAAAATTTTGAATTGTAAGGTACACAAATTTTTCATCATACGTAATTTTAAATGGCAAAATACAAAATTCGGCCGTAATCGATCGAATAGTTACTGAGAAATCAAATTTTAAATATACGGCTTGTTTAAAATTCGATTTCTCAGTAACTATTCGACCGATTTCACTCAATTTTTGTAATTTGCCATGCAAAATTACGAACTTTAATATGACACAAAAAATTTTATACCTTTACAATTCAAAATTTTTTCGATTACTACTAAATAAAATTATAAAAAATACTAAATGTTTACAGATTTTTTTTTTTTTTTTTTNGAAATAAAATAAATAAATTTTTTTTTGCATGAAATTATTTTTAGACAAGCGAATTTCATAAATTGTTGGCAAGAATTTTTCAATTCACTTAAAAAATTCTCGAGATATAGCAAAAAATCAAATTAACAATGAGGGCTCCAAACTTAGAACCCCTCTCCTGACTAAAATATTGGAGTCACATTTCCCAGATTGCGGCTACCCCCCATACATTGGGCGACATAAATCCGAATCAGTCGGGAAAAAAAATATGTTTATTCAAAAAAAGTACGTTTTTGTGTCTGATCTAATTAATTAGCATATTTGAGATCACCCCCTCCAACTATTAAGATTGAGTCTTACAATGTAAAGATCCGATCATTAGATCAAAAGTTATTCATGGTGGTGCTTTTTTTTGTTTTGCGCACTGTACATTTGCATTTAAGGATATCTGGCCTTGGGATTTCATACAAAAAAAAAACTGAATGTAATGGAAGAATGCATTTGTTTTACAACATAAAAACAGTAGCTTAAATTTAAATAAATAAAATTGCGCACCAGAAAATTATAAGTTTTTTAATCCACTTTCTTAAAAAAAAAAAATAGATAAGAAAGTAGTCTATTTTTTTAAAAAATATTTATTTCAGTTTTGTACTTAATTTTTATATTGTATCGTTCAAGATTTAGTTTAGAGCTTTCATATTAATTTAATTAATGTAAATAAATTTAATCAATGATTTGTTGTAGTGTTTCACCGAATAATCAGTGATGTAATAATTTTTATCAGTCATGTAATGTAGTGGACTGTGAAACACAGAAATTGGTGGTTGTTCCACCAGTGAATGTTATTAATCACACAGTAGCTTTGCTAAATGTCCAAAATATATACTAGGGTCTAGTTATATACTAGTCATTACCTGGTACATATTTGCCCGGTATGCCCTACATCAATGTTTTTTAAAATCAAGTGTCCCTGCCGAGTACGCATTTAACCGTCACTCCGAACACTGATGTTTCTCCTAATCTATCCTCAGCAGATATTAAAATATCGAATAAATGCAATAATATCGACGAATAAATTAATATGAAATCGGATATAACAAATATTTCGGACATTCACGAAAGCAACAATGTGATTGTTGTCATTCACTTGATTTCGGTTATTTCATGGTAACATATACACTTAGTGAGTGATTTGTTGATTTAGAAGCATTAATAAATTTGGATTATGACATTTTAACAGCTCTTTACATGTAATTTTATAAAATTAGAACTTACTAAGCGTTATATATTAGAGAAAATAATGTTATATAAAATACCAAATGACTGCAGTTATTCTAACAAACCGGACACGCCTGCCTTGCCGCTCACCTCCAGAGACTTGAGATCCTTCCCGATCCAAACTGTGTCTTGTGAGGGGAGGAGTCCCCAGTGAATGCTGAGCATCTGCGGCTCTGCCCCGCAAATACTGGCAACATCTAAGACATATACTTAAATCAGGGTGCGTAGTCAAATCTTTCACCGAAAAATAAGCACATTTTAAGTATTTTTTAAGCACTCAAAAAATATTTTTAAGCTCTCTATACATCAACAAAATGCAAAGTAATTTTCAAAGACTTTACATGATCATGATAAAATAACTAGTTTTTGACAAAAGAACTCTTTTCTTGATTATATTAGCCATTAAAAAACGACCAAGAAATTTTCTGATTTGATTTCAGAGGGTGGAAAATGAAGCTTGACATTGAGAATGTCTTGCAAAATGCAGCAGAGTTGCACATGATAGTGCAAGAATCGCACCGAACCCAGCTCACTATACATACATGCGGAATCGCAAGTATTTCATCAAACCTGTAAAATGATTGGCGCTTTTATACGCTATGAACCGTCGGTACGCTGAAATGGATAGTGGTTGAATGGATTGTGAAAACGTTGAATAGAAGAATGTGAAAAGCACGCATTTGGCGAAAAATGGCAAGGTAAAGAAAAAAAATCTTTTTCGAAAAGGGAAATTAAGCACTTTTTAAAAACACCCAATGAAAAAAAGCTTTAAGAGCTTTTAAAAAACGAAAATTAACACCTTTAAGGACTATTTCAAAATACTATGCACCGTGTAAATGCCAGGGAACAGTTGCAGGCGCTGCTGACTGACTAATTTTCTGCTTATATTTCTATTGTTGATATTCTATTTAATGTTTCTTTGTTCTAATTGTTTTTGTATTTCAAAGTTTTTATGTTTTAAATTTTTATTTATTTATTGTTATTCTTTATAGGTCTGTGCGGAGTGTTTTTACACTCTAGCGAATGATGTACACATCAAGTGCTGCTGCTAGAAATTTAAAAAAAAAAATTTAAAAAAAAACAGTTATTCTAATTTCTTAAGAATTTTATTATATTTTTTTCATAGTTCTTGCTTTTTAGTATTCAATTATCAAAAATTGATAGATTAAATTGATTGGAAACTAATAGTGTTGGTTATACTAGATTGCAATCAAAACTGTTTAAAATTATAANTTCTATTGTTGACATTTTATTTAATATTTCTTTGCTCTAATTGTTTTTGTATTTCAAAGTTTTAATGTTCCTAAATTTTTTTATTATTGATTGTTATTCTTTATAGGTCTGTGCGGAGTGTTTTTACACTCTAGCGAATGATGTACACATCAAGTGCTGCTGCTAGAAATAAAAATAAAAACAGTTATTCTAATTTCTTAAGAATTTCATTAAATTTGTTTCATAGTTTTTGCTTTTTAGTATTCAATTATCAAAAATTGATAAATTAAATTGATTGGAAACTTGGTTATACTAGATTGCAATCAAAACTGTTTAAAATTATAATAATATTTCCTTTAAAAAAAAAATAATAACAGTTGTATTTTTCAATGAAATTTATGAAACAAAATTAGAAAACTGTATACAATGTATTAAAGACCAAATTAAACAATTCATTTAGGTTTATTTTGTGCGTTTCAAAACTTGCAAATAAGCATGCATACAGAATTTTTAGTACAAAAATTATTAAAATCAAATAGGCAATATTTACAAAATTAAATTTTGATTTATAATTTTTTATTTTAAATTCATTGAAGATTCTAAAACAGAATTGAACTATCAGAAAAACATATAAAGTTTATGATAAACTAAATATTAAATAATAATTTGTATTTGATAGCTCATGAATGCACAAAAATAAAAGGTCCAATATATGGAATGATTTTCGAGGCATACAAATGCACTAAGTTTATTAAATCATTATTTATATAATTCGCAATATATTTAGATAATTCTTAGTTTAAAATACTTTCTTTTTAATATTGAAATAAAACCTGACATAAATCTTTATTTCAGGTAAGTTTAAAAATGCATTTCAATTAAACAACACATAATAAGTGCAAATTATAACAATAATTTTTCATTCCCAAATACATGAATTATTACACACTATGAAAATAAAATAATAACAAGTCTGGAATAGGTTTAAAAAAACATCTTTACATTTAAATAAAATCTAACATTAAAGCCAACATTCAAATAAATTGTTTAAAAAACATTTTAACAAAATATTAATTGATTTAGCTTTAATTCTTCGTTTAAGAATTCAATAAGTTTAAAGTATATTGGAATACATCTTAGTTATAAAACTAGAAAAAAGAAAATATTTTTGAAGAATAGTGACAATTAAAGGGTCCACATAAAGCTTAAAAGTAGCAAAATAATCTATTATTTATTCCTGATCAATTTGAAAATTCACTATTGTTTGCAATCATTGTTTAGATAACTTCTCAACAAAACAAAAAATTGTTATTGAAAATAAAGCCTTGGTTCAAATAAATTGTTTAAAAATATGTTTAAATAAAATACAGCATGTGTTTTTATTTTAGTTACTTGCAGCTTATGTACAGTGAATAAAACTTTTTAATTTTTTTTTGTTTTTCTCCCTTTTCTTTTTATCCTTTTTGTCTTTATTGTGCATAATATTATTGTCTTTATATATCTATGCATAAAGGATTTTCAGACCAAACACACATTAATATCATTTTAAGATTTACCAAATCAAAAAGTAGTTTAAAAATCTTTATCTACTAGTAAGAGGATTGAAAAAAAAATTGACTAATACAGAGTGCAATATTTAAATGCAATATTAAATATTTAATTCAATTATGCTAAACAAGCAATATTTAAATAACTACATATTAAAATGATCTATAATACCAGAATATACAATTTTTTCTTGCACATTGAAGATTTCATTGCAAGAAATGTATTTCAAAATAATTTATACTTGTATCCATTAGAAAAATATATCTTTCAATAAAATACAACAGCATTTTCGTAGTACATAATTCTTTTAAGTTTTATCCAGTCTTACTTCACTAAATAAAAGAATATTCGTGACTGTCGTATTCTAGAATAAATCAAATATTCCTTACTATCATATTCGATATCATATAATATTCTTTGATTCAGTATTCTAGAATATGATACTATCATATTATATAATACTATAAATAATAATAGTATGATATTATCAATCAAGAGTATTATCATATTCATGAACGCGGGATCAAAGAATATTTTTAAGTATTGGGTAAAACAATGTTCTTGAGCGGGTTTGTAATTATTGCTGAAAATTGAATCAAAAAATATTCTCAACATAATTTATTAAGGAGATGCCATAAAGACATTTTTCACAAAAACTTTAGTCTAACGGAAAATAAATTATTATTTTTTATAATTTCTTTTTTTTAAAGCACTGTTAATAGGTTTGCAATTTGTGTCTTCCCAACTATAATTCATTGGCATCTATTTTAATACGAATTTGTTGCTTTGATTTTAGGCAAAGGTTAAGCCCCCCCCCCCTCCCAAAAAAAAATCTAATGTATTAAAAAAAAAAAGCAAATTATTATAGCCAATACACAAAATATATAGATTTAAAATGAATAATTTAGAAGAATTTTTAAACATCAATGCTCTAAGTTGCATATAATATTCTTTTATTAAGTAAAAAAGAAAGTTATCGTTATTGCATTTTATAAACTATTACAATTAATATAAAAATATAGTTTTAAACTGAATAATTTAGAATGACTTTTAAAAGCCGCAGTTTAAAATAGCATACCACATTTATTGATAAGGGGGGAAAAAAATAAAAACAAGAAAAAAATCCATTTCAGATTGTCAATTATTACAGTTAAAATTATCATTTCAAGTCAAATAACTCAGAATGATTCTCAAACAGTGCAATTCAAAATAGCATACCATACCTAACAAAAATTTGAATTATCAATTAAGGGGATTTTTACATCAATAAAGAAAGATGATAAAAGAATTTATAGATTAAGTTACAATTTTAAGTTTACTAAAAAACATTCAATCTTAAATTACAATTAGCTACTCTTTTTCTACTTACAATTATCTCTCTTTCTTTCAGTGTTGCTTTAAAGTAAAAGAATATCAGCAACTAATAAATTCTAGATCTTAACTTTGTTCAATAAAATAAAAATGGCGAATTTATCAAACAAGAATTTACTTGATAAATATTCCAAGTAATGATGAATTAATTAAATAAGTTTCATCTTTTTTTAAAAGATGAAATACGCTCGATTGGGAAACCTTGTTCATTGTTTGTCTAACAATTATCGAAAAAACATTTAAAGAACTAAATTTAAATGAGTTTATTTTACAAAATCAATTTAAACAATATCAATGTAGAAAAACTGTGTAAAACATTAACTACATGTTTAATAAAAATAGTGCTTAACAACATGAAGTGCAAATAACAGAACAAAAATAGAGACATATTTTCGATTTTATATGCAAAAATCTATCTCACTGTCAAAAACAGAATAATTTAATTTTTTTATGCTATAAAAACATTGCATTGCTTCGACATTGAGGAAGGTTCTTGATTATAAAATCAAAATTATAGCATGTCTGTTCTTGTTACATTAATTGTGGTTCATTCATATATAGAACAAATTATACCCTTTTTTATTTGCTGACATGTTTAATACAGAGTAAAGGCATGTTTCTTTTAACTTAATATAGTTCTTTTCTTTTGAAAATTTATATAAAGTACTGATACTGTTTTCCAAAGTACTATGTACTAAATATTACCTTAAAGATTAAGTTGCAATTAATTAAAATTGTTTACAATGTAGAAAAGAAATATGTCTAATACTTAAAAAATAGTTTTCTTTCTTATCTTTTCTTTCCTATAAGATTCTTTTCCTTTAAAGAATTAATTTTTATCATTGATATTGCTTTTTAATTTAAATGCTGCATAGGATTTCCCTAGCACTCTATACAACTTTAAAAATACAGTCACACAAGTTTGCATGAGTAGTCCTCTTGAGCAATAACCAAAACTGTTTATTAAAATTTTCAATTATATATATTTTTAATCATATATCTTTTTACACCAATTACATGAAGGACATATAAACACTGCTTTACTTGTATTTTGCTGCATTTATTTTTAAATTACATACTTTTTAACATTAATCTTTAAAAAGACACATCATTTTACAATATTTTTGTTAGTATTTATTTTTAAATTATATACTTTTTTAACATTAATACATTAAAAGACACATAACTTTACTGCACTTTGTTTGTACTTATTTTTAAAGCAGAGAAATTTTTAACAAAGATATAATTTTCTCAATAATAATAAAATTGCAGTTTTTTTTAAAGTTAATCTAAATGAAAGAAGAAAAAAAATTGTTAACAGTGGTAAATAGTAAACAGTATTATATTTCATAAACAGTACTAAAGACATTGAATACCAAATGTGTGTTCTGCATAGTTGAAAATGGGCAATAATGGTAATTTAGTTTCAAACACTGAAACTTCAGATTAAAATTTCAGATAACCGATTCCTGCACAAAGTTTTACGTTTAATTTAAAATGTATTATTCTTATCCCAAAGAAATAAAATTACCTGGAATTTCATTAAGTGCATTGAAATGAAAAGCTTAGTAGAAGAATCTGTTTAAAGTTGTAGAGCTGATTTTCTAAAAATTATCAAAATATCACATAAAACGTTTATCCACTATGCTTTACATCAGAAAGTAAAATTTATCATTCTTTTTCCACAGAAATAACATTACCGAAAGTACCTTGATTATGTATAACAGTTACCTAAGAAATTGAGGTTTCGAAACACAGTTCAATGACATGGCACTTTTTCCCCTATGAATTGTGCTTTAAAAATATACATTTCAACAAAACAATTCTTTTGACTCCAAATACCTATTTCAATGCATGAGAGAATTGAGCTTATTCTTGACTTTCTTAATAACTTTCTTCATCCGCTGGTAAGTACCAACGGAGCTAGGTAGGTTCTCAAAATCCATGTGAGACGTAACATTTTTTGAAAAGTTTTCATAATTTGGCAGTCTTGTGAATGAACTGTGCCTTGAAATGGATGGCGTCCCCAGAGAAACTAGTTTGCTGCCAATGCTATCTGTCCTTGGCAGAATTCCACTGTTACTTACAGACTTTCCACTAGTGCTAGCTTTTGAAGAAAAACTACTATCACTTAAATTTGAAAACTCATTCGTGTTTTCCACTGTATCAGAATCCACTGTTTTAAGCGACTGAACAGAATCCTCATTTGCGACCGCAACGGGACTCGACGGCTCCGCGTCGATGCCGAGCGCCATGACCAGTCTTTTCTTTATTTCTTCCAGTTCCACCAAAGAGGGTGACGTGTCACCTCCTGACGAGTCCTCGTTCAGTGTAAAAGGTTCCATGATAGCTCCAAACCTATTCGAGTCGGGATTCGGAATCGGAGAATCGCCACCGGAATCTTGCTCGACCAAAATCACGCAGTCTTCACTGTCGCTTTCAGCTTCGGGAGGATCAGGCTTGTTTTTAGGTGAATTTGGTGAACAAAGGGAAGAGGGTGAAGAGGATGGAGAGAATGGTGAATACTCTGGTGAAGCAATCACAATCTCAGTTGGTGAAAATTCGGGTGGAGGGGGCGGCGCTTTATCTTCAGGTAAAGGAGGCTGGAATTCTTTTAATTCTATTACAGATGGGTCTGGAAAAAAGTTTGAATCACAATAATCAGGAATATGAATGTATTTCCTCACAATTTATCAACACAAATAGGAAAAAAAATGTTATTAGTTTAGCAAAGTCTAAATAGCCAAGTTATAAAACTAATATACTAGATACAGGGTTGCCACTCAAATCTAGAAAAAAAATTTCCAGACTTTACCCAGCATATATTATACACTATATATTAAGAGGAAACACACTATCGCTGTGTTCTTGTTGGAGTTATATTAGGCTAATTATACAAGTTTTAATTACAAGAAAAACTTAAAGAAATAAGGAACAGCTTAACCTATTAAAAACAAATAATGTTATAGTAAATGAAATAGTTTAGTATAGCAGAAATATCATCCTTAGATAACACATAGAATGCACTTTGAGAGGTCAATACTTTCGAAACTGAGAAATAAAATTCCCGGTATTTTGCCAGTTTGTATTACAGAACTATTTAATAAAGAGTCCACGGAATTCAGATTTTTTCCCCTGTCTTATTTGGTGCATCATCAGTCGTAATATTACATATTTTTGCTACGGGCACTTTCAAAGTTAAAAGCTTTTCCTGAAACTCATGAAAAATATCACATCTCGTTGTAGTTCCCTTTAAAGAACGCAAACGTGCCAGTACCTCGGTTTTTTCAAAGTTCTTATCATACACCTCGTATAAATAACACTAATTGAGCAGTATCATTTATATCAGTGATTTCATCCATAGCTATTGAGCAAAATTTAAATGGTGCAATTTTTTATTCTAATTGTGAAGTCAAAATTTTATCAATGGCTTTGATTCTAGAAGTCATTATTTTTCATGATGCGGACAGCCTAGTTTGCCTATCCTTGATTAATATCCTTCCCCTTTGTCCCCCTAACATCATTGGTGAATATCCTTCCCCTTTTGCTACTCCAGATGTAAAATAAATTTTTTCATCATTTTTACAACAAAATATTTTTTTGGTGCAAATTTAATAAGAGCTGACTTTTTAAAAGAGTGAGGCAAAAGAGATATTCTATGGATAGTGACAAGGACATTTGAAATTCTGCATCCAAATATAAATGGAAAGTAGACTACTCCTCCTCAAAACTTTAAGAAACATTTCTGTTGGATATAAACAAGATAACAACAACAGAAGAGATATTTATTTTGAAGATTTTTGGAAGAACTTCAAATGCATTAGTATATATTTTGGCTAGGATGAATAGGAACAAAAATTACATCACAGCAATAAATTTAGAAAATCAGTGACAGGGTGCGTAGCCAAATCTTTGAATCAAAAATAAGCACTTTTTAAAAACTTTTCAAGCACTATTATCACTAAGTTACAAAAGTTAAATTAAAAATAATGTAACTCTAGTGAAAAATATCAGAAAGTCTTTTTTTGAAATGATAATAATATTTGTTTTCTTGGAAAGGTGTGTCGTTTATGAAAGAGCAAAATCATTGATCTGTCTGGGTTTTTTTAAGAGGTACCTATCTTGTGAAAATTTAGACATAATTAGTGCAAATAAAAAATTATATTTAAAAAATCAACACAAAAATATGGTAAAGGAAGAAAATATTTTCAAAAATTGTCACTACAAATAAATATCATTTATGACTTATTTCTATATATTTTTCCCTATATACTCAAAAATAATTTTGGTATTGTAAAATTTTGGGCTAAAAATTTTATCTAAATTACAAAAAGCATAAATCTGTAAAAAATCATTGTCCACAGTAAAATTTCAACTTGAATTTAGTAAAAACATGCATTTAACAGTACTAATACTAAAAGTTATTCTAATTATGAGAACATTTTCCTCTGGGTCATACAGAAAAAAGTTTCACAGAGAAAAAAATATTAGAAATGTCAGTTAAAAGAAATTTACAATAGTGTTTATGATAATGTTCGAATTTCGACTTCTTGTAAAGCTTACAGAGGGAGAGCCTCACGTTTAATTTTAAAAAACTCAGCGGGAAAAAAATTCGCTTTGAAANTTTATTTGTCACCTTAAAGTAAAAGCAGATTATACAATATTTTAAAAATGATAAAGGATTGTTTTTTTAAATTATTACTTAAAAAAACAAACACAGTTTGTCTTAATTACCAGCAATACTCAGACATTTTTCTAAGACATTACATAAATGATATTAATTTTAAATAAAAACGAAATGCATCGTCTATTTAATTTCAATCATAACTGGAAAACAATGTGATTTTTCTATTTTGATGACTATAAAAATCCCTAAAATTCCCTGTATGTGAAATATTTAGTATATCATGCAACAATTATCATGAAATTTATATTTTTTCATAAAATTTACTGGATTTTTTCCTATGAATGCTGGCAGCTACGCAAGAATAAAATGCACCATATAAACAATAACTTTATTTGTCACCTTAAAGTAAAAGCAGATTATACAATCAATGGGAAAATCTAATTTAAAGACTAGCAAAATTGTGAAATTTTAAAAATGATAAAGGATTGTTTTTTTAAATTATTACTTAAAAAAACAAACACAGTTTGTCTTAATTACCAGTAATACTCAGAAATTTTCTAAGACATTACATAAATGATATTAATTTTAAATAAAAACAAAATGCATCATAAAAATAGTCACAAAACTTCACACTTAAAATAAGAAAAACTATATGATCAATACTTAAGAATAACACAATTCAAATACTTGATAAATTTAAATTATGTTTTTTTAAATTCTTCATCAGCTTGTTAAAAATGTTTTATTTTTTTAAAAACCAGCTTATGAGGAAGAGCTCGTTCTTTCCAAATTGTCTAGCATATTTTTCTGTGAATATTGTCTAATAAAATCTTAATAAACATTTACGCTTTTCACCCAAGATTTGTACTGTTCAATCATAGTATAAATGATTTTTTAAAATATTAGCTTAAAAAAATAAAATTTAATCCCAATAACCATAACTCTGCTATTTCATTTGAATGCAATACAATAAACTTAAAATGAACTTTATTATTTTTTCATTTTTTTTTATTATCATGTCAACATCTTTGAATTAAAATCAGAAAATGTTATGCATATTTAGGTATTGAAAATTACAATCCATAGTATTCCTTTTATTTGTTCATTTCTATTACAATTAAAATTCTCAGACTGCCATTAATTAAATAATAATCATCATCAATGGCTCGACAGTCTAGGGTGGGCCTTTGCCTTCTCAAGATGTTTTTACCAGGCTTATCTTATTTTTTGCTAGTGTTTTCCAATTTTTTTAGTTTTTAAGACCAAAAGGTCTTTCTTTAGGCCATCTATCCATCTCAAATTCGGCCCGCCTTTTTTTTGCGTGCAAACTGGTCTGGCATTGAAGACTCTTTTTGTGGTATGGTCTTCGTCCATTCTGATAATGTTGCTTGCCTACTTTATTCTTTGTGTTTTAATAAAGTTAATAATGTCAGGGTCATTATGTGAGTGATAAAGCTTTAGATTTGATCTTCTAAGCCACACACCATTTTTTTGAATTCCACCAAAAATACTTCTCAAGACCTTTCTCTCTCAGAGGTACCCAACATAGCCTCCTCCGTACAAGGTATGTCCCAGGTTTCATAAGCATACGTTAAAATTGATCTTTATATTATTTAATTAACTCGTTATCACCATACGTGTTAATTAAGTAATATTCGGACAAAAAAGTTCAGATATCAATTTTATATTAGAAAGTAAGAGTATAACAGATTCAAGAATTAAGAATAAGAAAAGCAAATTAGATCTGTTTTACACAACAAAAGGTCGTCAAACAATAAAAATAAATAGTTTTCTAAGAATAATAAAAAACAATTTATAGCAACTATATGCTATTATGCAAAATATCTCCTACAAAAGGCATTTTATGATTTTTTTTAACCATATAAGAAATAAAATAGATAATCAGTTAAACAAAAAATTAATTACTGCTTTTGGCAAGGTCTCTTCTACATAAGTACGCAACTGTGACTCTTGAAATGGAGGAAATCCTAAAACATCAAATTCCTACAGAAATATAAAATAAATTTCAATAAATTTATTATAAACCAATTGCACAAAAAAAAATTCATGGTTACAACATGAAATGTAAAATACAGATTGTAATTAACTTAATAGATTTATACATTTTCAGTTATTTTTGTACTATTCTTAAATTCATAATATAGATCGTTAGAAAGTTAAGGTTTACTTTTTTATAACCAACAAAGATATATAAAGTAAGAAAAATATCAATATTTTAAAGACAGTATTTTTTAATTGTGATTGCCTAAATAGAGTTAAATATGTAAATTTTATTAGTTTCATTAGTGATATCTTTTTAATTAATAATATGAAATAGTTATTAAATTCATTTGAGACAGTAATAAAAAATTTTTGAATACCATACGGGGTTAAAAAATTTAAAATAACAAGAATTTTTTTTATTTATTAGTTAACATAATAAAAAGTTCTCTATGAAAAAAATCTGGAATCCTTACAAAAGGAGATATATACAATGAAACTTGTCAATTACCTGCAAAACTTTTGAATTCTGAAAATTTTTGAGTACATTAACTGACCAATCAGTCTTATTATACTAATAATTTTTAGCAATTTTAAAGTTTTCTTTTTTTGCAAAATTTCAGCACAATAAAAAAGCAATCAAGGCTTTTTAAAGATATTTTTTTCGATTTTTAAGAAAATTCAGATCAATCACATGACGTTTTAGTTATAAAAATTTGAAAAACTAGATTGAATTTGTAAATAGTTAATTAATAATAAAGGATGTAGTTAAGATAGTCAACTGAAAGGTTTAGAAAAAAGATGATTGAACTTCCACTAAATGAGAAATTTCGTTTCTTAAGTTTCCTCAGTTTAATGAAATCTGCAAACAAGAGAAATTGTTATTTAATTTTATGTATTTATTCTACAGCAAAGAATTTTGAAAAAGAATGTAACAGCACCAGTATTTCCAAAAAAATATTTTTTTAATAGTATTACGCCAATTTTTATAAGAAAAAAATTTACTTCTTTGACACCCAGATTTTAAGTTACACTCGAGGACATTTTCCTGGAAGAATGGCAAGTAGAGCAATTATAAAATTAAATTATTTAAGTCATTTGAATTGGAAATCAGGGCCAATCAAAGGAACGAAGCAATTAAAAAAATTTATTTAAATTATTAAATTAAAGAATAAATTTTTAAATTTAAGGTCTTTTTTATGGCAGTGGGAACCTAGTTTTTTTTAATTTAGACGGAAAATGACAAAAAACCTTTAAATCAAGGAATTTTGAGGTTTTTTTTAATTTAGACGGAAAATGACAAAAAACCTTTAAATCAAGGAATTTTGAGAAAAGCACATTTTTCAAGACAGCTCCTTTTACTGTTTCAATTAAGTAAAAATAAAATCACTTTTATGTTAATTGATCAAGCTACTATATCAAAAATACTTGATGCTACAATATTGAAAATAGAGCCATGGGGGCTCAGGGGATAGAGCATTGTTCCTCCAATAAAGTGAACTGTGTTCAAATCCCAACGATGGCTGGTCGATACGAATTCCACACCCGCTCGCACCGACCACAGTGCTGACGTAAAATATCCCCAGTGGTAGATGGATCATGGGTCTCTCCATGTAACGCAAATGCGGATTAGTTCCAGCAAAAAGTCCTCCACAAAGGCTCATTTCTCTCAATACTTAATCCAGGATTTCCATTCTCTTCTGGATTAGGTTCAAATATACGGACTTGAACATTAGTAGTCGATTAGGTCGACTGTTCAACGACAGCTATAAAATAAAATCCCGAAAATAGAATTATCTTTTTTAGGTTTTCATAAAGAAGTCTTGAATTGAAAAAAAAAAGGAGTAACAGGACAAAATGTTTTTACGAGAAAAATCATGATAACTACTACTTCAGTGTTTCATAAATATATAATAAAACTGAACTGGAATAAAAATAACAATTTCATGTATGAACTAGAAAAAAAAGTGAAAAATTAAGTTTAATAATGAGAACAATTATGATATCTTACATCTGTGAGATCTGGAGTTAGAGGAATATTGAATCCTGGGTAATCTATTAGTTTATCGTGATCATACTGTACTAAAAGGCAAAGAAATTAAATGTTAAAATATGTACATTGATTTAATATAAAATCACATATGTATATGCTACATAATAATGAATGAAAAATAACTTGGAAACTGCAAAATACTTTGGCCTTCATTGGGCCAATATTCATGAATCTCGGCTCTATAATTATTCAAAGGGCCGTTATTCTTCAGATATTGTTCCTCGTAGAATTTTCCGATTCAGCCGATATTTTACAGTCACTTTACAACCAATATCGGTTCTATATAGAATTGTCAGATTCATCTGATATTTTATATCCATAATTTAGCCAATATAGGTTCTATATTAACCAATGTAGGCCGTATATAGGTCATTCTAGGACCAATATTACAAAATCTAGACATCCCAATATTGGTCCCTTTGTACCTGTTCTTATAGGACCTATATAAAGGTCAACTAGGGTCAAGGTAAAATTGTTGCTAGGGCAGAGAATAATTATGTGTACTAAATAACATATATTTTATAATTAACAAAAATATCAAGGTGATTAATAAGCCTAGAGTGTGATTACTATGAAAGATCATTTGCAGGCAATATGAAAAATTAAAGTTTACAATTCTTTAATACACATAATACATGTTGATTTACAATACTAGACAGTGAATAATTTTAATAAATCAATACCTGCACTTTCGCTATTTTTTTCTTTTTTGCATTTCTCGTCAGGTTGAGCTAATAATATAAAATAAAAAATAAACAAAATATTTTATTCAAATTGAAAACATAATCAGTTAACAGATTCAAAGAAAGAAATAATAATAAAATCAAAACTGTTAATAACAAACTAAAAAAAAAAAATAATAAACTAATTGGATTTATTTAAACTCATTCTTGATTATTTTAACTGTGCTCATATCATAATAATGCAGAAATTTATTTTAACTATTATACCTCAAAAATATTAGCAATCAATTCTAATAATGATAAATGTCAAAAAATGTAATAATAAAGAAAATTTATCAATGACATGCACTTGAAAGACACATTTAAAAATGAAGTACCTGAAAAAAAATTTAAAAACTTTTTTGTTAAATTTATATAAACATTAACATCAAGTTCTTTACTAAATTATTAATATATCTATAGCACAATAAATAAATACAAAAAGGATAAAGAGAAAAATGAAGAAAATTAATAAGTTTTACTTACTGCTCATAAGCTGCAAGTATGTAATATGTTTTGAACTCATAAGATATGTTCAAAACATAGAGAAAACACGGAAAAAATTACAGAATAATGAAAAGAAGAAAATTGTTAAAATAAATTAACATAAAATTAAGAAAAATTCGTTGAAAAAAAAAGATATTATCTCTTAATCAGCTCACTTGATTATATCCACTAAAAGGAGTGCTTTCTAATATTGCATCAATATAGCTAAAGTGAGCTTAAATATAGCAATATAGCTCAATACAGCAATAGTGTGAGGGGCAGTAAAAAAAAAAACAAAAAAAAGGAAGAAAAAAAAAGAAGAAAAAAAATAGAACATATTAATTAATAAATAACACATAAAAAGCAGAAAATAAAATGTAAAGAGAAAAAACAGAACAAAACACAAAACAAAATTAATAAAGCACGTACTGAATTCAAATGAACTTACGTGCATGGGAAAATGTTCAAGAATTATTAAAAATATTTTCGCAATAGGATTGCCAGATTACAAAATAGGAAAATAGACGCGCAAATTAAGGTAAAAGCGTAAAGAGGGGGATATTGTTTTATGGCGCATTCTGACTGCACATTTTCATTTACACCACCAAGTATACTCCGCAAAAATCTTTCTCCCAAATATTGCAATACAATTAATTTTCCTCCAGATTTGTAAAAAAAATTTTTAAAAAAACTAGATACGCAAAAAAAGGCAACAGAGCAAAAAGTTAATACATACCAATACCTTCAGAGTCATACAATGCAATACCAGAACTTTCGATAGCAGCTTCGGCACGCCAGCCTGGGGGATAATCTAAAATTCTCATCCGATAAATATACAACGGAATTTGATCCCTTCCTAGATCAAGAGCATTCCTCAACTCCTCACTGGCAATAAAAATTTTAAAAGGAAAATATTACGAAACAGATATAAAATTGTTGTAAAAATAATAACTATAACAAAAGTATATAAATATTCTGTGAAGCCGGGATAACGTGTTTGGCAGGGAGCTGGACTTCGGTTCGTAAGAACGGGAGTTCGAATCCAGTCGGATGAAGACTCCCTTGTCTGGTGCACGTTAAATCTGTCAGGTCACGAAGTCCTCCGTGTTCCCATAACAAACTATACCACTGGGAGTACTGAATAGGGGTTTGATCTTTCTCTGGTTCACAGGGTGCCTAGCCAAATTATTCAACAAAAAATAAGCACCATTTAAGCACTCAAAAAATATTTTTAAGCACTTTAAAAAAATATCATAATTAGGCAGGGTTGGAAAGTTTTTGACAATCAACGGTTTCATCTTGTTTTAACCGTCATGTCAACAAAAAAAACCTTTTGGCATTGTTTCTGACAATTTTCTAAACTCATGAGATTTTGAATCACGAAAAACGAATGGTGTTTTCATACGCTATGGACTGACCATACGCTGAAATAGATTGGGGTTGAATTAACTATGAAAACGTTGAACAGAACAATGTGAACTGTGTCTTTTTGCATAATTCGAAGCGAAAATCAACATAGTAAAGGAGAAATGAAGCACTTTTTAAAAACACCCAATGAAAAGAGCACTTTTAAGGGCTTTTAAAAAACGCTATGCACCATGGGTTCAGGTCAATATTATAATTGGTGGATGAATAAATGGATGTATGAATGGGTCTGCCCTATAAGTGGGTGTGACGAATGAATGTGGCAGAAGTCGAATACTTTGCCACAGATGGCGCCACTGGAGAACAAGAACAATTGCACCCCTTACCTTAATGGCTTACGACAACAACACAAATAATCTGTGTATAATTGAAGTAAAATCGTATTTAAACACAAGAACATTTTTTAAACCAAAAACGGAATAAGCGATTAAAGCCCAATAAATAAACTAATAAAAAAATATCAATAAAAAATTTAATTATGTGAAAGATAAACATCAATAAGATTGCAAAACTTAATTGATTGATAGTAATTTAAAAAGAAATTTTTTTTTTAACAACAATAACAAAACCATCCTAAAAAGAAACTAACAAATATATTAAGAATTCATATTTAATTAAAATTAATCCATATTTATTACATTAAGTCAAATAGAATAACAAAAAAATAATGCTCTTTATCAACAGACAAGTAAAACAGTAAATACATAAATAAACGATAACAGTACCAATTCTATTTTGATAGTATGAACCACAAAAAATGTGTTAGCTTAATTTAATAATGTACATAAAATGGGGAACAAATAATATTAAATAAACAAATAATTGAAATTATTTTAGCTTTATTTATTACGTCAGTATAGTCTCTCAGCTTTGTACATGACTTCCTATTATTGTTCAGTGATGATTTATGCATTATTTTCGTTTCTTATTCACCCTGTACAAGTATTAGCTAGTAACTATAAAGGAAAAAACAACAAAATATGCAAAAAAAATTCATCTATCAACAATATTTTAGACCTGGTCAACGCAGTTCAAACACATATACTAATACAGGGTGAGTAGTCAAATTTCTCATCAATAAATAATCACATTTAAAGTACTTTTTAAGCACCATATACACTAACGAAATGCAAAATAATTTTCGAAGACTGTATATGATCATAATAAAATAACTAGTTTCTGACAAAGAACTCTGTTCTTGATTATATTATCCACCATAAAAAGATCGAGAGATGTTTTGGTTTGATTTAAGAGGGTGCAAAATGAAGCCTGAAATTGAGAATATCTTGCAAAACGTAGCAGAGTTGCGCGAGAACGCTGAAAAGGAACAATGTGAAAAGCATGCTTTTGCATAATCCATGGCAAAAATCAATGTGATAAAGAAAAAAAAAATCATTTTTGAAAAGGGAAAATTAAGCACTTTTTAAAACAGCCAATAAAAAAAGCACCTTTAAGGGCTTTTAAAAAACAAAAAGTAAACACCTTTAAGAACTTTTTAAAAACTCTACGCAGCATGTGCAGAATATAATTCATAATCAATTCCATTTGGTTTCAAACTTGATCACTGTATGAACAGAAAAAGTGGAGTCAATAAAATACAGAGAGGATTCTCAATTTTACAAAAACTGAATTAACAATTCCATAAAAACTGAAAAAAAAAACTATTAATATGAATGAAAAAAATAAGTTTTACTTAAAAGCTGCATTAATACATACATAAAAATTGCACAGAAATGTAAAACTGTATCAATAATGGATAGTGTATAAGTTGCATAAACAATTATCTTCATTACGTTAGCAATTTGTTCCAATATAAGATGACACAGTAATAATAAATTAAAAAAAAGTATGTATTCAAAATAATTACCTTATAACTCCAGGCTTAAATTTAGAATGTTGATTTTCATAAACATGATAGCGTCTGAAAAAAAAAGATACTGTGCAATTCGAAAAATGAACATTATCATGAGTGAGTAAGAAATAAATAAATATTGCAGAAACATTAACGTGTAAAAAATTTCAGTAAAATAAGCTAAACATATTGTACAGAGCACAGGAGTCCGTTTTGATTGGAGATGAATGAAACAGTCCTAAAAACTCCAAAAATTTTATAAGTAGAAGTTTCCAGAAACTGTAGAAATTATGATTTTACTGGTAAAAATTATGAAATAAGTTAACGCGCATATAATTTATTTGTTAAAAATTAGCAGAGCTCAGTTGTACTGTAAACTCGTTGCCTTTCTTTTGCTTTTGTAAGTCAGAAACAAAAAATTTAAAATAAAAGAAAAATTTAAAAGACAAACAAAAATTAATAAAACAATTAAAAGAACAACAAAATTTCATAACTCTCAATAGTTAGCAAATAAATAAAGTTATTTTAAACAAAATGTAACAGAAATTCTCAAAAACTGCTATCTTGATTAAAATTATAGTAATTATAGATACATTGCAATAAATGACACTTCCTGAGACATAAATATTAATGATGCATCCAAATGTGCAATAGTATGAAAGACCATTCAAATAATATAATATCTAAAATGTCAAGTAGTAATTACTATGGTTTAGCTTACTTATTTGACACAAAAGTTGATTGTTTTTTTCTTCTAGCAATAGCAATTTTTCTCCTATCCCACGGAAGTGGGCATTCATTGATGAGATGATCTCCTTCACAATTAAAACAAACCTTTGTACTTGCTTTACATTCTTTGCTAAAAATAAAATAAAAAACTTTTAAAACAAATTTTATGTGCACATAGTTCCAAATTCTGTCTTCTTACAGATTAAAACAATTCATTAAATGCTAATTACTAGCAAAAAATACAAAATTTATGAATTTTGGGGATGCTCTTCAGGCTCTCTGCGGACTTTGGAGTACACTTCCAATGGATTCCATCACACGTTGGAATCAAACGTAACGAGATGGCGGACGCACTGGCTAAAGATGCTTCTTTGGAACCTTTACAGCCAGATCTACCTTCCACTTTCAACGAGGTCTTTGCAGAGTGCAAAAAAATGTTTATGGACCTCTGGAGGGTTCCTCCTCCGCATAGTTGGTATTTCAGAAAACGACCTGGAAGTGGCTTGCTTTTTGAGGGACCTAGAAGCCAGCAGACTTGTTTATCTCGCTTTGCAAGTGGTCACTTGAGGTGTCTCTCGTATGTTCAGGGGCAAAAGACTTTTGGACTTTGCACTAAATGTAGGACTGCTCAGGCTTCGCCCGAGCATATTCTAAACTGTATCGATTTTAAGATCGACGAGGTTTTTTCAAAACCTCATCTGTTTTTAGACTTCCTGGACATTTTTGGACTTATGGAATTGGTCTAATTGGGATGGACCTCTTGGGGATTAGAAATAACAAGAAACAACAACAACAAAATTTATAGTTCTATATAATCAAGCCAACTTTGGTTTCAATCTAAACTTACAATATAATAACTGCTAAATAGAAAATTATCACTTTATTTATTTTACTTACAACTTTTTTCTCTATTAATAGCATACCTGCCAACATTGGAGAAATAAAATAACAGAGATTTTACTAGCGAAATTTTTCAGTCTACGAGTAAAGTTTTAATAATTTTTTAGTCTATGAGTAAAGCTAAAAGTTTTGACATAATGCATAATCATGTAAGTCAAAAAGAGAAATTTAAAATTGGAAACAATATAAGCACTCACATTTAGCGAAGAAAAAAATTTCTATATAAATCTTAACCAAAAGAAGATTTTTTAAATCCATTATTAATAATTACTTAAACTATTAACACTCAACATACTGCAGTACTGGCAATAGCACCATCAGTTGAGGAATAAGAAAATTACTTTTGCTATCAGCGGATATTTTATCGGCAATTTTTTTGTTTTTAAATTTCTTTAACAAACATGGAGAAATTTGAGAATATACGGGTAAACAGGATATAGTCCTAAAACACAGGAGTCTTCGTTAAAAAACAGGAGACTTGGCAGGTATGTAATAGTGCCTTAAATTGTATTTACGGCACAAAGCAAATGCATTGTATTTACAGCATTTTATAAAAATTAAACTAGACTCATGGTACAGGGGAAAGTGTTACAGCTTCTGTTGGCCTAAAGTGACCTGGAGCACCAAAGGTAGAAGACTGATTTAGCTCCATAGTTTCACCTGCTAGCATTAGCTGGGCATAATGGAATGGCCTTCACGCCTAGGGTGGCCCTACCAGGAGCTACGCTCCCGACGTACTTCGCCCATTCCGCCCAGTGGCACCCCCTCGCCACGGTGAGGCAGCTAGCAGGATTTGAGGGGGATCTGTATCGATTTTAAGATCGACGAGGTTTTTTCAAAACCTCATCTGTTTTTAGACTTCCTGGACATTTTTGGACTTATGGAATTGGTCTAATTGGGATGGACCTCTTGGGGATTAGAAACAAACAAAACATAAAAATTAATCCTTTTCAAATTTTGCACTTAAGAGTTTCAAATAAACTAACAAATCAGTTATTGCAAAAACATGACAATGAACCTACAACAAATGAGTTGAAATTCCTTGCTTCAGCATGAGAATTAGTACTTAAATCCTTTTACAAAACATTTACTTCAAAATAACATTCTATAGGTTATAAAATTTTTTAATCCAGTAGTTAAATTACTTATTACCTTTTGACATCAGTTTCACTTTCTTGGGAAAACTCAGAATTTTGCAAAACTTCATTAAAACTCTGATCATACCTACATTTAATATAAAACATAGTTTTAATACATAGTAAATATAGCTCAAAAAAAATAAATTCATAAATGGTATATATGTACATTTTATTAAACAAATTTAAATACTTTCAGGGAGCATAGCCCCTGATTTGACTGATCTAATCAGGCAGCATCAGGGAGCGTAGTCAAACAAAAAATAAGCATTCTTTAAGTACTTTTTAAGCACTAAAAGAAATTTTAAGCACCATAAACATTACAAAATGCAAAATAATTTTCAAAAACTTTACATGATCATGATAAAAAAGAACTAGTTTCTGACAAAGAACTCCTTTCTCGATTATATTTGCCACCATAAAAAAATCTAAAGATTTTTTTGGTTTGATAACATAGGGTGCAAAATGAAGCCTGAAATTGAGAATATCTTGCAAAATGCAGCAGTGCTGCATATGAGAGAATCTTACCGAACCCATCTCTGAAGACGCACACGCTGAATCACAAATATTTCCTCAAACATGTAAAATGATTCGTGCTTGCATAGGCTACAAACCGACAGTATGCCGAAATGGATTGTAGTGAAATGAATTGTGAAAATGTTGAATGGAACAATGTGAAAATCGCACTTTTGCATAATACGAGGCGAAAATTGACATGGTAAAAAAAAAATCTCGGTAATATTAAACCATTAAGCACTTTTTAAAAATGCTACAACGATGATTTTAAGTATTTCTGTATTGAATTTCTCATAGAGGTAACATATCAAATTGTAATAGCTCTTGTCTATAATGTTTTAACATTTTGTTTGTGCTGAAGCCAGTTCAAAAGATTTATACTTTGTACTTTTTTGTATTTGAATATGTTGATATTCAAATACAAACATATTGTGGGGGAATTAATTATCGACTATGTCAACCTTCATCTATCAAAAGGTACCTAATGATAGAATCAAGTTAACATGTCTTATATACTAGTGAATTGGTATTTAATATTTATAGTGGTAGTTNTACAAAATGCAAAATAATTTTCAAAGACTTTACATGATCATGATAAAAAGGAACTACTTTCTGACAAAGAACTCTTTTCTCGATTATAATAGCCACCATAAAAATAAATTGAACCATTTTATTGGTTTGATAACATAGGGTGCAAAATGAAGCCTGAAATTGAGAATAACTTGCAAAATGCAGTAGTGTTGCATATGAGAGAATCTCACCGAACCCATCTCTGAAGACGCACATGCTGACTCGCAAATATTTTTTCAAACACGTAAAATGATTGGTGCTTGGATTGTGGTAAAATGAATTGTGAAAACGTTAAATAGAACAATGTGAAAAGCACACTTTTGCATACTACGAGGCGAAAATTGACATGGTTAAAAATAAATAAATCTCTGTAATATTAAATCTTTAAGCACTTTTTTAAAATGCTACAACCATGATTTTAAGTATTTCTGTATTGAATTTCTCATAGAGGCAACATATCAAATTGTAATAGCTCTTGTCTATAATGTTTTAACATTTTGTTTGTGCTTAAGCCAGTTCAAAAGATTTAGACTTAGTATCTTTTTGTATTTGAATACGTTGATATTCAAATACATATGTAATACAAAATGACTTTATTTTATTTTATTATTAAATATAAATCAATAGTATTGTGCAATTAAAATTCTATTTTATTGCTTCAAAATAAGATAACAAAGAAATGTTATAGTTAAATAGTATATTCAGTTTTAAAAGTTCTAATATTAAAGTGCAGTCTCGTCAAAAGTTTTATTCCAAATCCTGATAATTATTTCATGATGAACAAAATAAATTTTTAATGGTGTTATATTAATGGATCACCAATAATTTTGAACCCTGCATTTATAAATTATTTGATAATTACAGGAATGTTTGTGAGCCTAAGTCAAAATTCCGGAAGAGTTCTTGAGTTAAAAAGACAAAACAAAAAACAGTTTAAATTGAAAAATTAGAAAGAAATTTAAACAAGTTTTTTTTCTCCTTTTTCTCAATATTTCTTAGTTTACTTAAAATTTTACACATACCTATACCCTTTACACATACCTATGATGAACTGGAGAAGTAATTAAAATTTACAAATATGTCTTTCTTTCTTGAGTTTATGATTATAATAACTATTTAAAGATAAAAAATGAATATTAATCATGAATAGAAGCTTATAAAGTTTCTCTCTGGCTCTCCCTTACAAACAAATAAAATAAACTGTGTTTTTAAGTTCCATTTTTGAAAATTTGATTTCCAGAAACTTCTGTGATCACTGATTTTTTTTAAACGTCTGGACCTTCGATTTCCGGATCGATGTGAGCGAAAAATCTGGAAATCCGGATTTTTTCCGGAGCACACTCATCTCTGTAATTAATAATTTATAAATTATTTGATAATTATTTCTGCAAATTTAGCTTTAAAAATACAAAAAAAATACCAAACATTATTGAAAAAAATTTGCCGTAATTTTAAAAGAAAATGTTGTTTATACCATTAAAAATCTCATTGCAGAACATTCGATACAAGACTTTAATTAAACAGTGAAAGTGAAAGTCAGTGAAAAATGTAGTAATCAACAAACATCAGAGAGAAAAGATTAATTACTTGATTCTAGTCTTACCTAGGAACAGATGAGCTTTCTTTGGGTACTTCACAGGAATTGTCCAGTGAAAATATCTCCCCCTTTAAGAAACAAATAAAAAATTGCTTTCATGTTTAAAAAAATCAGAGCAAAACTACAATTCAGTGAAAGTCATTAGTTCCATTCATAAACATAAAGTAAGTAACAATGTTTATCTTAATTGAACTCTAAAACGATTTGAATGCCAAATCGATGGTTATCATAAATGTAATTTTATGTTGAGTTGTAAAGTAATAAAAGTACAGTTTATGTGTTTGTATGACAGTAATATGTTTAAATAGAAACATTATTTTGATTTATCACATAACAAAGAATAATCCAAAAAGGAACAAAAAACTTAGATACATTAAAAGACAAAAGTTAATATTAACAAATAAAAGAAAAAGCACTTAATGTTTCCCTAGAAAAACAAACATATCGTATTACTAATACATTTATCGCTTAATTACAGTATATGCTGATCACTTCTTCTTCTTTGTCAGCGCAACAGTCTCTTGCAGTCTTTGACTGCCTCAACAGCTGATAAATGCCAGTGTTCTTATCCATGGCAACTCTCTTCCAATCTTTAAGGTTTTCAGGGACAACAATTTGATAATCTACTTAGACATCTTATATCTTATTTGACAAATATAGATAGGTTATCAACATAAAGAGCAGGGTTTGTATTCATTTTATGATTGAACAATTAAGCCCTGATCCAAGTTAGCAAAAAAGGGATAATGTATTTTACAAAAAAAATTGCATGATTCCTAAGACCATAAGATTCTTAAACCCTTAAACCAAAGTTCTTTTATTCTTATTAAAAAAAAAATCGTAATTTTCAAAAAAAAATAATTCAATTTAAAATAATTAATTCTTCAGATTAATTTTTATTACTCTGTAAATCAATTTCAAAATTAGTGTAATTTTCATACTTGAAAATGGTGCCAGTCGTAATAATATTGTATTTAAAAAAAAAATGTTTAAAAATGATGTGCAAATGGCAGAAAAATGATAAATAAGTTTAAAAACAGCCGTAAAAACAATAGTAATAAAACTAGGTGCGTAGCCAAATTATTCAACAAAAAATAAGCACCTTTTAAACACTCAAAAAATATTTTTAAGCACTTTAAAAAAAATATCATAATTAGGCAGGGTTGGAAAGTTTTTTTAAATTGACGGTTTTATCTTGTTTTAGCCGTCATGTCAAATAAATAAATAAATCTTTTGGCATTGTTTTTGACAATTGTCAAAAATCATGAAATTTTGAAACATGTAAAACGAATGGCGTTTTCATACGCTATGAACTGACAATACGCCGAAATAGATTGGGGCTGAATTAATTTTGAAAACGTTGAATAGAACAATGTGAACTGTTTCTTTTTGCATAATCCGAAGCAAAAATCAACATAGAAAAGGAAAAACCTCATTTTGAAAAGGGAAAATTAAGCACTTTTTAAAAAAGCACCCTTAAAAGCTTTTAAAAAATGAAAATAAACACCTTTAAGCACTTTTTAAAAACGCTACGCACCCTGTAAAAAGATAAAATAGTGTGCTTTGGTTTAACTATAGAATATTTAAGAAGGTTTTTGAACTTTGTTTTCCTTTTGTAATTAGTTTATGCATTTTACTTTTGTATTTTTATATGGTATTCTCTTTTTCTCTCTTCCTGAGCGTTTTTGCAAAGCCTTAGGGTTACAGAGAGAGAGCAAATTTCAGACATTTGTTGTGCCCTCTCGATAGAAAAGGTTTTGTGTTTTTATGACTTCCGGAACCCTGACGACGTCAGCTTTGGTTGTCATTATTTTCTTCTGTAAAAATGATAGTACCACAACGTAATTTTACAATGAAATCACCACATAAAAAACGGATTAAGTATTAAAATACGAATTTCGCTTGCCACAATAAAGTGATATTTACAGTATCAAAATTAATCACGTAAAAAACATCAACAAGGGATTAAGTACTAAAATATGAAATTCGCTTGCCATAATAAAGTGATATTTACAGTATCAAAATTAATCATGTAAAAAACATCAACAAGGGATTAAGTACTAAAAGATGAAATTCGCTTGCCACGATAAAGTGATATTTACAGTTTCAAAATTAATCATGTAAAAAACATCAACAAGGGATTAAGTACTAAAATATGAAATTCGCTTGCCACGATAAAGTGATATTTACAGTATCAAAATTAATCATGCAAAAAACATCAGAAAGGGATTAAGTACTAAAATATGAGATTCGCTTGCCATAATAAAGTGATATTTACAGTATCAAAATTAATCATGTAAAAAACAACAAGGGATTAAGTACTAAAATATGAAATTCGCTTGCCATACTAAAGTGATATTTACAGTATCAAAATTAATCATGTAAAAAACATCAGAAAGGGATTAAGTACTAAAATATGAAATTCGCTTGCCATAATAAAGTGATATTCACAGTATCAAAATTAAAAAATTAATCATGAAAAATTATGGGAAAATGACATATAAACTGATAAAAAATTATCAATAAACAAGTTGATATTATATAATCATCAGGAATAGAGCACATCAAAAAATGATATCTAAAATTTGAAATATGCAATCCATAATAAGGTCCTACTAAATAACTGCAGAAGAAAGCAATTAGAAAATGATGGGATGGATTCCTGCTAACTGAGGTGGTCAAACAGGGATTACTCAAATTCAAAATTTATGTGCCATTTTAACATTGTTTTAAAAACAATGAATTCTAAAAAAAAAAAAAAACCTATTGATAATTGCAAGTTAAAACAGTAGAGGGGAAATCTGGAATCATGATGGAATTGAGCACACCAAAAAGTGACATTTGAAAAATCTGAAATTTGCATACCAAAATAACATTCTGTTAATTAAAAATATTAGAACTTAGCAAAAATTTGTTGAAATAAATGGAAAGGGGAAAGAAAAACAATATGGATTTACAATAGAATCGCTAATAAAAAGCATGTCAAAAATTCGATAACTCAAAATTTAAATTCTCCTGTCATAGATAATATTTTAAAAATATCAGAGTTATAAAACCCACGTGAAAAGGGCTGAAAAACTATCAAAAAAGGTCGTGAAATTGTGATGAAATCCTTCTGAATCGAATGCGTTAAAGAGGAAAAAAATTAAAGTAAAAAATCAACAAAATAAAGGGGAAATAACAGAAAAAACTTTGAGAAACATTCATGCCATGAGGGGGATTAGAAACTGCAGCCATTGGCTATGCAGTCAGGCAAGCTAATTGCTCAGTCACCTGGTCGGCAAAAATGTATTAAATTTTCCTGAAAAAATTATTTAATATTCATAATAAAAAAGAAACATAATTCTTTTAATATGCACTCTAAAATTGAAATAAATAAATGAATTATACCTCTAAATTCCAATTCTCTGATTGCAATTCAGTAGCATCTGTTGTCTTTAAAAATGAAGACAGTGCTTTGACACTACAACGTCCAGTAATCAAATCAGTAGCTATGTCCTTTAAAATCGGCAGATACTTTCTAGAAACGAACAAAAACTTAAAATATTTGTTGCATATTCATTATTGAATTTCTATTAAAAGAATATTTATCTTAAATAAAATTTATAATTAATTAGTTGATCATAATTTAGATTGATAATAACAGTAATAATCCATCCAACATGATTATGGAACTTCATGGGGATAAAGCAATCGCACTGCAATGAGATGAACTGGGTTCGAATCCCAACGATGGCTGGTTGATACGAATACCGAATCTGGCTTGCACCGACCACAGTGCTGACGTAATATATCCTCAGTGGTAGACAGTTCATGATTTAGAGTCCCCTTGCCGTCAGGCTAACTGTGGGAGGTTATCATGGTTTTCCTCTCCATGTAACACAAATGCGGGTAAATTTCATTAAAAAGTCTTCCACGAAGTCAAATTTCTCTCAATACTTGATCTAGGAATTCTCGTTTTCTGGATTGGGTTCAAAATTATAAAAGGCTACAGAGTTGAGCACTAGTAGTCATAAACCCAAAACCGGTTATAAAATAATTTTTATCTCGTTTGAATTTTTTTTGTCACCTTAATTCTTTATATATTTTTCCTGAAAAGCAGAAATAACAATTTAATGAGCAACTCATCACAACTGTAAATCTACTGCAGACCTTAAAAACTCTGTTCCTAAAATTGGTCCTATGAAATTAAAAATTAGATTTCTAAGCAAATTACAGTAAGATATATGTTAGAGAAACAATAATTTTATAGGCAAATTATATAGTATTTTAGAAATAAAGCAATAAAAAAAAATGTACTACTCACTCTTCAAACCTTTTGTTGCCAAATTTTATAGATATTTCAGCTGCAGACTCCTCTTTCAATGAGAGCTTTAGATTTTCATGTATTCTAATTAAGGCATATATTTATATACATACATATTAACCACAAACAAAACATGAATGGTAATCAAATTTACAATTACAGGCTAAAAAACTATCTTAGTTATAGTTGCAAATACGAATCCTTTTAAAAAAAAAAAGAAAAAGAATAAGCAATTTACAAAATTAAAAAACAAGATGAAAAGTTATCTAATTAATTTTTTCCTCATCAACACTTAAAAAAACATACATTATATTACTATGGACAATATTTTTTCAAAATACGAGAATACATGCAATAAAAAATAGAAGAAAATTTTAATGATTATTTCAAGCAAAAAACATAAACTATAATGAAATAAAAAAATCATTTACACCAAAAGTAGTTTTTTTCTCCTTTTTCATTAAAATACAATATAAAATAATTTAATAATTAGCAACCTCAGAAAAGTAATAAAATGTTTTCTGGGAGTTATAAGGGATTCTGAATAGCTCAAGATCTCAAGAAAAATAGATTGTAATTCTCCAGTGTTATAATTGGGGACACGGTTTTTAAAATCTAGACTTTTCAAACTTTTTATTTTATTTCCTGTAACCAAATGTGTTAAAATTCTGTCAATAAGGACAGAAAGTACACAGAATGAAAGAATATCCATGCCTTGCCCGGGATTTGAACCCAGAACCTTTCTGATGCAAGGCCAATTCTCTAATCCCTACACAGTTCAGTCTGCATTTTTCAATATTATAACACTAGAATTTCAAATCTACTTTAGCTTATCATTAATATGTTGTTTTTTGACAAGCATTTTTTAGCAGTTGTTGATACAGATTTCAACACTATTATTTAGCTTCATTGTTTGTTTTTTTTATATCATGACACACTAATTTCTAATAGTGCATTTGTAATAATCACCTTTGGACAAGCGCAATTAGCGACAGTTCTATCGAATTCCAAACGTCTTGTCGAATGGCAGTTATTGCAGCATATTTTCACAATTTATAAAATAGTTTTTAATTAGATTTTATGATTACGACACACTTTCAAATCATGCAGTTTAACATTAACTCTCTAATCAACTTATTTTATGTCGATTTGATCGCATTTCAAACTGTCTTTACCTTTGTTTTATTGTTGCAAGACTTTTAATATCTAGTAATTTTTAATACTGTTATTTTCACTGTAATTTTTATTACCGTTTTAATACTGTACATCGGAATTTCCATTGGAGATCAAAATCCCAAGCCTGCATTTTCTATTACCAAAAATTTTATCCTACAATTTAAATTATTCGAATATTTTATCTTAACATATCAAGATGTACGATAAGACAGTCTAAATGTAAAAAACATNATGGACAAATACCTTGTAAAGGCAAAATCTTCTATGATGATGCATCAAAAATATTCAATGCTTTAAAAAGTAGGAGACGTTAAAAATGTATTATAATTAAAGAAATGTTTTTTTTTTTTCAAGAGATTTTGTGTTTTTTTAGAAATCTCACTTAACTTTTCGAAATCTCACCCTGTGTTTGAGAAAGGGTGAGAAATTCTCACCCATTTTTTTTCTATGATGAAAATACTGCTCTGTGTTCAGTCCAGCGCAAGGGAAAAGTCACCAAAAAATTAGACTTCTGCTAACTTTATAAAACACATCGAAATTAAGCTAAATAAAACAAAAATAAATTTTTAAAAAAAGTTGATTTTCCTTGTGCCAGGCTAATAAACGAGCACTGAAGATAGGTCTGGGGCACCTTGAAAAATAATTGAGGCGATTTCCGTATACAGATCTGTGGCAGAAAGGGAGCAACTTGAAACACAGAAAGGGAACGTTGTGAAAGGTATAACTCGTAGCGGACCTAGGGCAAACACCTACATGCTTTGTTTCTTTTTTTAAAATTTAGAAGTTCAAAATCCTTTTGGCACCTTGGCGATTGTAGTTGGTGACGCATATCACGATACGGGAATATCCCCAAATAATTTTACAGGTTAAGTTGTGACAAAAATCTGGTGTTTCTTAGTAACGTGACCAATTAAAAAAACTCTCAGAATAAGGCAAGCTCTGAGAGTGAAGCTTGTAGCTTATTCTAAGCAATGAACTAGCATGCATTTTAAATCTATTTCAAGTACCAAAATCGGGTAATTGAATGATGTATCTTTAGTTTGTATATGCAAGTACTGAATATTTTTTTCATGCACATTTTATATATTTCAAAGCATTTTATCTAATTCAACTAAAGCTATTAACAACTACCAGGGGTCTGTCCAGGCATTTTGTGAAAGGTCCTGTTTTTGTAAAATTGTGAAAAAACTATTCATAATTTGTTAATATAAAATAAGTGCTAAGTCACATTCTTCCAACCAAGATTCTAATTTTGTGAATTTGTGCAAATAGGGTCCTGTTATTGCAACAAATTCAAAAAAAAAACTTTTCAAGAAGTTTTTAAATTGTAAATAGATACAAGATTCCGCTCAACAATTGCTGCTACTAAATTAGAGATGCAACATACAAATATTTGGTATTTAGCCTATACTGCTCAACACAGAATATTCATTTCGGACAAATAATGGAAACAAAATCACCCACATTTTAAATAACTTCAATTAACATATTTTAAATAACACAACTTAGTAATGTATCACTTTTAATGTGTTATGCATTAAGTAAACTTAAAAAATTCTTAAATTTATAATATTTTACTTAAAAAATTGCCAGAAATTAACTCTTATTTACATACTATTCAGTTAATTAATTTTATGAATAAATATAAAGTGATCAATTATACATTTTCAAAAAAAAAAAATTTTATTAATAAGAATGTGCACATGATTTTTGTAAAAGAAGAAATATTTTTTAAAAATACTACATTTGGAAATTAAACTTAGTTGTTTTGAACCGCTTTTCTGCCCCCCAACCCGGGAAGGGTTTATTCGATTAACAAAACAATGAAGATAAACAAATTAGTGAAGGGTCCGATTATAAGATAAATTATTTTGTGAAGGGTCTGCTTCTAGGAAAAGATATTTTGTGAAGGGTCTGTTAACGGACCCAAATTTCTTCTAAACAGACCCCTGACTACTCATTCAAATTTATAATGAACATTCAAAAGTTATACTAAATAAAGCAAGGATATTTTCTTGAGTTAGATGATCTACTTGGTTACTCAAAAAATCAATTTTTTGTAAAAGACTGGCAACAAACTCGTCGTCCCCCGAAACAGATGGATTTTTAAATGATATGTGTCTCTCATCATTTGTATTATAACTTTCTTTGAATGATGAATTATTCCTATTATTTTTATATCCATCATGTCTCTCTGTGTAATGATAACCTTTTTGCCTAAATTCTAATGATTTATTATAATATGTGGGTTTGTCACTGAAATGCTTGCCTTCATTAGAATTATGGAAATCAAAGGATTTTGTCGATGATTTATTAATATCGGATGTACTGTCATGACGATGTTCAGTCATTTGAGTTGATTTCGAGTCAGGATATTTATGGTGGGTACTATCAATTTTTGTGGGAGAACGGCTACGACTTTTAGCAAAATTTCGACGTTCACTGTACCGATCATTATGAGAGAACTTTGAGTCGAATTGCCTATCGTAATGAATATCTTCTATCGTACGATCATCATGAGATAATTTTGTGCCGATTTGCCTGTCATTATGAAAATCTACTGTACGATCACTATGGGCCAATTTTGGGTCGATTTGCCTATCATGGAAAACTTCACCCGAACGATTATTTTTGACTGACGGTCTATTTTCTTTAGAAAAAATCCTCTTATCATGTAAATTATAAGGATAAGATACTTTTTCAACTGAACGACCACTATTTCGTTCAGGATTGTCACGCTGATCAAAACTTGAAGCATGATATCTGTCTTTGTCTGATTTATGGCGCTCACGATTGTTTTCATCAGTTCTGTAAGCGACATGTCGATCTTCGGAAAAGTTTAGCCTTTCTTCAACAATACCGGTGTGGTTATATAGCTCTCGGTTTGAATTCCTGTTTCTGCTATGAGGGGATTTCCCTTTAACATGGCTGGACGACCTTGATCTATCAGTTTCGTGCTTTTCCGCAACCACATCAGATTTTTCTTTCGAGTATTTATCCTCCAATTTATTACTATTACGAAAAGAACTCATTTCTAAACTGTTTAGTTCCTGATTAATGATATATTCACAGGAAAGAAGACCCTCTTGGCTAATTCATGTTTTGATAACAATCCAAAATATTGCCACCTGCCATTTCAAATACATGAATGCTTACTTTTGTTCCCATCTTGTGCCTTTTACAATTAATTTTAATTTTTAAAGAATAACAATTTTGCTTTTTGCCAACAGTAATTTTGCTTTAATTGTTGTGTCCCAGCAGATCACCGAAGTCAAGCATCACTGGCTACGGTCAGTGTGCGGGTGGGTGACCACTTGGATCAGTCTGCGTAGGGACCGAGGGTGTGCGGTATTGGTCCTCGTTAAACTGTGCTACCGTAAAGTGCTCGACTTCGCGCGCAGGTCGTCGGGCTACCGAAGCGGGGGTGCCATCCCCTCCGCAGAGGATCAAAATTGTGATGGCATGTCTTCGGATCATCCTCAGGGATGTTTCCCAGACCGTCGCCAACAGCCCATTGTGCAGCTCTAGTGCGACGTAAATTAAAAACAATGGCACCCCCGCTTCGGTAGCCCGACGACCTGCACGAGAAGTCGAGCACTTTATATTAGAACAGTTTAACGAGGCTTTAATATCACACACCCTTGGTCCTTACGCAGGCTGATCCAAGTGGTCACCCACCCGCTCACCGACAGCAGCCAGCGATGCTTGACTTCGGTGATCTGCTGGGAACCGTGATTTAACGATCAATCCACTTCGGGACCTTTCGAATTGGGAAAGGCTTATAAAGATTTACATTGTTGTATCATTACGAGAAATTTTCCGTCTATTCAGTTCTTCTTTTTTTTTCAAAGTTAAATTTGTTCATGAATATAAGTATTCAAATTAATTTATGAGTACTCACATCTAACATTTATTTCTGGAGATCAGAATATCATTATTTTCCCAGTAAAGTTATATAAATTCATACATGGCCCTATATCTCCCTTTAATTGACCCGTAATATTCAAACAGGACCACGTATTTTATTGCAGAATACTAGTGTACCCTACCAGAGGAAATTATTACAGACCAATTAGGGGGATATATATATGTATTCGGGAAATTCGGACCAGTATCAATATATACCGTATTTATACATGCCCCTATATCTCCCCATAATGTTCAAATGGGGACACGTATTATATTTCAGAAAACTTGTTTCCTACCAGATGTAATTATTCTAGGACAATAAGAAGGCCCACAATGTGGCCCTATATTTTATTTTATATTATACCCGCCGTTGAACAACCGACCCAATTTTGGGCTTACGACTACTAATGTTCAACTCGAGTTGAACATTGCATCGCGTTAAAATGAGTCAATTCGAGCTAATATACTGTATTCAAATATAATCTGACGTAACGGGTGGGGTCCTCGTCCCGTCAGATGGGCAACGTCTTTTAGACGGCCAACACCTGTGCGGTTCGTAGAAGGCAGATAGGGGTCCCCTGAGTGATGCGAATCAAGGTGAGATTCGATCGCAAGAGAAGGGGACTCCGGTGACTCGAGGACCCAGAGAAACACACGATGTCTGCACGGAACGGCGAGTATGAGGATAGCCGGCGGGGAAGGTGGAGCGCATTACCCCCAGGCTCGTTTCGTCTCGTCCACCACCCCAGCCCTCGCCTGCGCAAGGAAACCTTCCAGCTTGCAGGAGTACAGTCTTTTCGGTTCGAAGTGAACCTTCGGCCCGACGTGACCAATTTTCCAAGTCTACGTCGGACCAAAAGGGGATGCCCGTGCAAACGGGGTCGAAAAGTCCCCTAGAACCTCGTGCTCTAAACGATAGGTGGGAGTGAGCGCAGAGGAGTACCGGGCGAACAGCCAAGGGAAAGCCCCGCGTTTGAACTCCCCCCGACTCGGGCGGGCGGGTCCGGCAATTTGAAAGTCGTTAAAGCCGGCGTTGATTTTGCCGGGTCCGTTCCCGTGGCTGCGTGGTCGTAGTCGACCAAGGGTGCTGACGCACCCCTGAAAACGGGCAGCGACCCTAGTAGTGCGGCGATAGGGCTAAAACCCATGCGGCCGGTCGCTCTCGGATTATTACTGTATTCAAATATAACCCTATATCTCCTCATAATATTCAAACTAGGCCAAGTATTATATTGCAGGGTACTATAGTGTACCCTACCCGAGGAAACTATTATAGGTTCAATTAGGGGGCCCAAAATAGGGCCTCTAGGATAATTATTACGTATGTGTATATATATATATAAGTGTGTTGAATGGCATTAAAATGAGGTAAATAGAGCTAAATATACTGTATTCATGCACGGTCCTACATATCCTCTTAATATTGACCCACAATATTAAAACTGAGCCACATTTTATATTACAGGGTACTAAAAGGAGAAATTATTATAGGCCAATTTGGAAGCCTAAATGTTGCCTTAAAAGTATAAAAAATATATAATAGTGTGTTAAAAAGCGTATATCTCCCCTTAATACTCAAACTGGGCAACGTATTATATTGCAGAGTACTAGTGTCCCTACCAGAGGAAATTATTATAGGTCAATTAGGGGTGCCACAATGTAGTCTTATATGTTACTATGCATGTATTTATATATAATAGTTTGTTGAACAACGTTAAAATGAGGAAATTCGATCTTAGTATACTGTATTCATACATATGGCTCTATATCTTCCTTTAATTCTAACCTATAATATTTTATATAATATTCAAAATCTGTCAGGTATTATAATATACTATAGTACCATAAGAAAGAAAATTATTATAGACAAATTATGGAGCCCACAAAGTGGCACACAATTTAAATTTGTATATGTTTTTGAAAATGCATAAATAGCGGTAAAATAAAGAAATTGTTGCTCACACAAAGTACGCATGTTTGGTCACATACCTTTCTGAGCACCGATTTCTCCATTTTAACTCGATTTTACGCACTTTTAAAACATATACATTCTTACATATTATGTCACATTGTGGGCCCCTTAATTTGCATATAAATATTTCTATTGAAATGGTAGTATAGTTTGTTATAATATAATACCTGACCGAGTTAGAATATTACATTTTTATAAATAGAGATACAGGGCCATATATATACGAACTATAGACCATAATAAGGTACATTGTGGGCCTCCTAATTTGTGTATAATTATGTCCTTTGTTATTGTTGTATAGTATGAAACAATAAAATACCTGACAGAGTTAGAATAGTTCAGGTTAATTTTATGGGGCCATTTATATGTACAGCTTTTATTGTGCCACACCCCCGTATTTCCCTATAATTATTTCCTTTAATTTGTTTATAAATATTTCCTTTGGTAAGATAGCATAGTATGTTATAAGAAAATGCCTGTCAGAGTTTGATTATTAGAGGTTAATAATAAGGGGAGATATGGAGCCTTATATATAGACAGTATATAAGAACAAATTTTCCCATTTTCACACTTTTAATATATTATGCACTTGGAGACTATACTTAGGTACATTGTTGGCTTCCTAATTTGTAGAATTATTTTCTCTGTCATAATAGTATAGTCAGTTATAATATAATACATAACCGCGTTTGAATATGATAGGTTAATATTAGGTTAAGGGAGATATTGTGCCAGGCTCCCTTGTTTTTCTATAATCATTTTATTTTGTCTTGGGCCCCCTAAATTCTTAATAAATATTACTTCTGGTATAGTATGTTATAATATGTCAAAATTTTAAATTATTTTAATAATAAGGGGAAATATGGGGATATGTGTACACTATGTGAGCAACCATTTCTTCATTTTAATGCTATCACATGCATTTAGAAATATATATATATATACGTCACATTGTGGGCCAGCCTAATTTGCATATTTTTTTCCCTTTGGCAGTGTAGTATAGTATGTTATAATATAACACCTGACGAAGTTTGAAAATTAGAAGTTAGTATTCAGAAGAGATGTGGGGCTATGTTTGTGTACACTATGTGAGTAACAATTTTTCCTTTTTTTTCTTTTTTTATATAAATTCCTGTATTTTACATAAAGGTGGAAGAAATAAGAGTCTTTGGGAAGAAACCCTGATGACCATAGTTGAGTAGAAAGAAATTTTTGTAGTTCAAGTCCTAATTCACAAAAGTTTGGTACTTACATATTAAAATCAAAATAATAAACAATATAATTTTAAGAAATAAAAATTCCTGTATATTTTTTAAATAATATTGATGATATGGATCAAAATTCTTTACACAGAATAAGGATATTCTTGAGAAATAAAAAAGCTTCAGAAAAAAGTTAAATTTTTTTTATTGCAATTATCCATGTGAATACCGAATTTATGTTTCATATATATATGTTTTGAAATTTAAGTAAGTTAGATTATTATTTTTTTTTGTTGCTTTTGTTCGNTGTAAGCATCTATCCAGGAGCTCTGCTCCGTGTATATATAATTTGTAAATAGATTCCTTATTCTTAATCTCAATAAAAGCATAGAAAATGCATTATGTTGTCACCCTTATATAAAGGATATTAAAAATATTAAAATATGACTGCAAATACTACGAAATGCAATATAATGATGAATGAAAAGCCACGGCTAAAGAGTTTACGAGGAAAATAGAGGAGCACTACATATATATATATACGTCACATTGTGGGCCAGCCTAATTTGCATATTTTTTTCCCTTTGGCAGTGTAGTATAGTATGTTATAATATAACACCTGACGAAGTTTGAAAATTAGAAGTTAGTATTCAGAAGAGATGTGGGGCTATGTTTGTGTACACTATGTGAGTAACAATTTTTCCTTTTTTTTCTTTTTTTATATAAATTCCTGTATTTTACATAAAGGTGGAAGAAATAAGAGTCTTTGGGAAGAAACCCTGATGACCATAGTTGAGTAGAAAGAAATTTTTGTAGTTCAAGTCCTAATTCACAAAAGTTTGGTACTTACATATTAAAATCAAAATAATAAACAATATAATTTTAAGAAATAAAAATTCCTGTATATTTTTTAAATAATATTGATGATATGGATCAAAATTCTTTACACAGAATAAGGATATTCTTGAGAAATAAAAAAGCTTCAGAAAAAAGTTAAATTTTTTTTATTGCAATTATCCATGTGAATACCGAATTTATGTTTCATATATATATGTTTTGAAATTTAAGTAAGTTAGATTATTATTTTTTTTTGTTGCTTTTGTTCGTCAACACTTAAAAATCGCGTAAATACATTTAGATATATTTGATTTTTAAAACGCGTGAATACGCACTGCGACATTTCATTTTAAAATCACGTAAGAATGACTCACGATGTTTAATTTAAACAGCGTAAATCCGAATCGCAATATTCTATTTCAAAAATGCGTGAATATGAATCACGGTAGGTGATGTTTGTATCGCAGGAATATGATTCACGATGCGACGTGTTTTTCGAATATAAAATTCGGTCGACGGAGGTCTCGGAGATTATGTAGCCGTGTATCCTTAACATAGATATAAAGATCCTTAAGTATGTCTTGTTGTGCGATTCCCCAAGAATAAAAACGATCCTTTGCTTATTAGCTATAAAAATTACATGTAGAAAGTCAAATGCCAAAAGATAAGAAAAACTGAATCCTTCTTATTTATAAAATAATGTATAGTTAAGCACTGAGGATACTTAAACTTACACCTACGAATTTAAATATTGAAGAATTATTGTTAATCAAACGAAAACATTGCACAAAAACGATGATTATTGGCGTAAAATTACACCAACGCAATTATTAGCATTAAGAGCAAAAATGCACATTTATTCTTCAGATACTCAATCAAATATTTGAAGTTCAACAGCATCATAAAGATTTTTGGGCCAGTATCTTGAAATGGCAGTATTTAAAAAAAAAAAATCTTTGAAAAAATTACGTTTATTTTGTTTTTATGTTTCAATATCATATATTTTTTATTTTGTATTATTCAAATATTACTAAAGAGATAGGTACTTTATTTACGTCACTATGGGCTATTAGCGACGGTCTGTGAAATATACCCGAGGATGATTCGAAGACGTGCCATCTGACCCTCTGCAGAGGATAACTCCCCTGCTTTGGTAGCTCAATGACCTGAGCATGAAGTCTTGGTAGAACAGTTAAAGGAGAACCAATACCCCGCACCCTCGGTCCCTACTCAGGATGATCAAAGTGGTCACCCACCTGCTTACTGACCGCAGCCAGAGATGCTTGACTTCGGTGTTCTACTGGGAACCGTATCCTCGCGATCTGTCCACTGAGGGACATTACTAAAGAGAAGAGATTAGCTTATTTTTGTGGGCAAGGTATTTTGTGGGTATGGTATTGGTAAGCAATAATAATCTTGAATAAGTTATTCTTCGTATTTTTAAGTGCCACATAAATTTTAAAAGAAAACAGAAAAATTTGAATTTAAAGAAATAATAAGTTACAAAAAAATTTCTTCATTCAGTTTAAAAAATTTATAAAATTAAAATTTTTAACATGAAACTTTGAATTCAAATAAAAGAAATTTGAATAATACAATCTGAAAATTCTTAAAATTAAATAACTATGGTGAAAGTAAAAAACAAGGAAGTGGTGCTGCAAATTTTTTATGCAAGGAAGGGAGGGATATCTAATTAGGTTATTTTGGCTCACAAGGGAGGAGTTTAAAACAGGGTGCGTAGCCAAATCTTTCATCAAAAAATAAGTACCTTTAAAGTACATTTTAAGCACTCAAAAAATATTTTTTAACACTCTATACATTAACAAAATGCAAAATAATTTTCAAAGATTCTACATGATCATGATAACACAACTAGTTTCTGACAAAGAACTCTTTTCTTGATTAAATTAGCCATTATAAAATGATCAAGAGATTTTCCAGTTCGATATCAGAGGGTGGAAAATGAAGACAGAAATTGAGAACATCATGCAAAATGCAACAACAGAGTTGCACATGAGAAGGCAATAATCTCACCGAACCCAGCTCAGTAGAACGCACATGCGGATTTGTATTTCATCAAATTATGTAAAATGATTAGAGCTTTCATACACTACCGACCGACGGTACGCCGAAATGGATTGTGGGTTTATGAAATGTGAAAATGTTGAATAGAACAGTGTGAAAAGCATGCTTTTGCATATTACATGGCAAAAATAGACAGGGTAAAGAAAAATAATTTACCTTTTCCAAAAATGGAAAATTAAGCACTTTTTAAAAACAAAGCTCCTTTAAGGGCTTTTTAAAAAACGAATATCGAAAGTAAGCACCTTTTAAAAACATGCTATGTAATACTTGAACAGTCCTATGACTTCTTGAATGATAATAATCCAATTATTAATTATAAATAATAAAAACTACATAATTAAAAATACTATTCAAAAACTAATAAAAAAAAAATTGAAATCAATTCAAATATTTTTTCTTCTCTAACTTAGTCTGTTTTAATTATTAAAACAGTACAAAAATGAAACAAATAAAACAATTTTTATTAATATTTAACAAATAACACTGATGAAAGTGTATGGCGTAAATTAAACTCACATCAGCAATAAGATAAAATCGTAAGTAACTTAATGTAACACTTGGCAGTGAATAAATCAAATTTCAATTCACACCAATCAAATCAATTAGTTCAAAAGAGTGCTTCATTTTAGTTAGGAAGGTTAACTAAATCAATAGGAGCTCTTCACTGCTAAGCACACCATAGATGATTCCATTTAGTTTGCAGCACCAATAATAGATTATAGTACTAGATGTCTTGATCTCACGCACACTTCAGCAGTTTTGCAGGACACAAACATTTCTCAATGACAATCACAAAATTGTTTTGAGAAGACAACTATAAAATTCTCACAGCCATGTTAGATCCCAGTTGACTATCACATTCCAACACTTTAGCTGAGAGAGCTTCGTCGTCACTATACTTAATCCATCTGCTGTCACTATTTCTTCTTTAAATTAAAAAAAGAGAAAAGACAAACTAAAAAAGATTTGATCAAACGAGTTAAAAATCTTTTTTTCCATTCACACTTTATATAAAATTTTTCTAGCAATCATCTGTAGGTACTGCACATACTATCCTTTGTTCCGATATCGAAAAAAATCCTATTTACATAATAATCCAACAGAAACCCACTTTTAACAGGTACAAAAGATAATCTCTATTAGAAAAATAATTTATATTTTTACAGGTAGAAATGTTATCCTCTCGAAGAAAGGCGAGGGAAAAACTACAATGCTGCTGTGTGAAACATTGATCTCCCAATCAGTATTCATAGAAGAAAAAGTAGGTTATGTTTTGCTTCTTTAAGTTCATGGTATTTTTAAGTATTTTTTTGCTCAGGCATCGTTTTGTTAAATTGTCTGCTATTGATTCACACGTAGAAACTCTTGCATAACCTAGAAGATGAAAAAATTAATGCATTATTATTCTTTTTTGATGTCAAATTTTTTTTTTTTAAATAAAAGGTAATAAAAATTAGCATCAAAACGGTTTATAATAGGGAAAAACCCCTAGCAGCGCACGATGGCATTTCCAGTCATAGGTTTCTTTGAAATTCTTAACACATGTCCTAAAACTTTGTTGCAACATTTATGGAACACCCTAAAAATATTTTTTACCCATATAAACTGAGCAAATTTACCTTTTGCTCAGCTTATATGGCTAGAAACACCTCATGCTGTCTTAAGTGCATTTACAAGTATGAAAGTAAGAAAAAAGCAGTTGTTCTATAACTGATTCTATAAAGGACAAATAGTTGAGAAATGTTTTCAAACAAAGTCAGGCTCTGATTTAACAAATTAATCAGGACGATAAATATTCATTAAATTAGGGTATAAAAAAGGAACTAAAAAAAAAGTGTAATTGGAAATAGTAAACTGCCTATTCAGAAGGTAAAATTGCAGACATTTATTACATTTTCATATCTATCTAGATAAAACTTTTGAAATCAATCAAATTGGATTTTTAAGAATATATTTATAATTTACATTGAAACATATTTTTGACTTGCAGAAATGAGTATTTTTTTTCAATTACAAAATATATTCAAATTATGACCAAAAGATATTCAAAACAAACTGTTTACCCCTATTATCAATGGAAAATTTATTATTGATTTCTGCAGCAGATAAAATAACTATTTAATTAATTTCAGTTGCACCGATAACCAATCAGTCATCACTTATGATATAATTGATAAAGTTTATCCTTTTCAGTTTTAAACAAGAGGGATAATGTAGTCATTGAAAACAGTATCTTCTTTACTTAAATTAACAAAAATTTTTCCCACCCAGCTGTTTATTCAGGTAGTATTATTTATTAAGTAAGACTTTTGCCTCCAATCTAATCAAGGGACATGAAAAATTCTGTAAATAAGGGTCTGTTGAATCAGGATCCTATTATATTACCTAATACTATATCATATAAAACGCTAATACGTACGTATGTATGTATCAATAAAACCGATGATATTTTTTTTCTCGCGCTGTCAACAGTTTTCATTTTTAATTGATTGGATTCGGCGCGCAAGAGCACGCAGTGAGCAAACCAGATAACAATAACCAGAGTGAGCATTATCAGGTTGTTCAATTCAGATTCATGCACTAAAAACATGACAATATTTAATTTAAACTCAATTAGGAATTAATTAATTAATTGAAGTGAGAATGCTTTAAAAGGCCGCTGTTGAATTTATATTTTTCTACTGGGAGCTACCTAAACGTCTAAAAAACGTTTAAGTGTTTGTATTGAATGCATTGAATTTTTTTATATTTCGCGTTTATTTATGCATTGAATTTTCACGCTTTAAAATGCAGAATATTAGTGAAGCAATATTTGATAATTTATTTTGCTAATATGTTTCTTATTTAGCTAATGTTTTGATTTTTTCACCATGTACAATCTAAATAGCTAATATACTTTTTTAAAAGCCAATAAGAACATTGGTAGAATTCTTCTACATAAGTACAATACTATGTCTTTGATGATAAAATACTATGTCTTTGATGATAATATATTATGTCTTTGTGCTAGAACATTGTGTTCATTGGCGAGCGAGCGCAGCGAGCCATGGTTCACGGCGTGAACCACATAGGATTGCGTAGCAATTCTTGGGGGTTGGCGAGCGTCAGCGAGCAGGGGGTGGAGCCTCCTAGTATAATATATTATACTATCTAGGTATTATATTATCTAACAATAAAAAATATTGTATTATTCAAAAGTTTTAAATACAACCAATATTTCAGGTTCAAATTAGGACCCTTTATGAACTACCTTTTGTGAGTTGTGCAGACCAAATTTCCACACATTTTTCTAAGAAAAGATTGAACACTTAGCATCATGAAGCCTGTCACTTGAGCAAAAGTTGAGTGTAGTTTTAACTCTTACCCAACTCTTGAAGTTTGCATGATGATGCTTTCTCCCGGCTGCTGCTGTTGTTTGGCTTATAATTTCTTCTTCATACGGTTATCATCAAGCATCCCCTTCATTAAAAAAATAATTCATTTTTAATGAATTAAAAAAAAAAAGTAAAATTTTAAAAATGTGCGTCTTAGAGCAGTTTACTTAAACATATGAAACAAATAAAAGGAAAACTACAAAAATAGATTTTATTTTATCTTATAACCATCATTGAACAGACAACCCAATCTTTTGGGTTTACGACGACTAATGTTCAACTCTGTAGCCTTGTAATTATGAACCCAATCCAGAAGACAAGGGAACTCCTGGATTGAGTATTGGGAAAAATTGGCCTTCGTGGAGGACTTTTTGATAGAGCTAACCCGAATTTGAGTTACATGGAGAGGAAGGCCACGAAAACCTCCCACGGTTAGCCTGACGGCAAAGAGAGATAATAGGTTTCGATTGTCCCATCGACAGCAAGTTTTTCTTCCAAAAATTTTAATTAATTTCAATTTTAAATTAATAAAATTTTTATAATTTTATAAGCATTCATAAAAATATCTTTAACAAGTGAAAATGCAGAAAAAAAAACTTTTAGCAGATATGTTTTGTTTTAGAGAAAAAGTTTGAGACCAATTATCACAATTTTGATCATATTCCTGGTGCCTTAATCTACTGACGGCTCTGCATGTAAATAGTCGTATTTTAACTGGCAGTCTTCTACGCATTGCACAGCCGGGCAATTCCATGAAAAAAGGGAAAAGCATTGGAAAATTCTAATAAGAATTGTGTTATCATTTTGGATGTTTTCTGAATTAGAAAGGTTTGAAGTTTGATAATTTATAATAATTTTTTTTTGAGAATTTAGTTTTTTAGTGTTGGTAACCCATAGAACCTTGGCATTTGCTTGTTCTGATTTGGGTGAAGAACATGGTCAGATTTTGAAAATCAGTAAGCTAACATTATTTTCATTTCAAAATGTTCCAAAGAATAAATATTATTTATTAAACTTAATAGAAATATTGTGCAGTGTTAAAATAAGTTTTTGTTGTTAAATTCACTTAATTATATAAATTTTAACTAAACAATAATGCATGCCCAGAAGCAGAATATTTTCAAATGTTCTGCAACAGGACTTATTTATACAAATGTTCTGCAAGCATTTCACAGTGAAAAAAAATCAGCTTTACCTTAAAATACCATATTTTCATTTATTAAAATACAGGATCATATGCAGATACTCAACATTATTTTTAAATCAAGGCAAACATTCTTGATTTGTTACGTTTTCAATCACTTTTGAGGTGTAAAGTTTTGTTAATGACGATGACTTATTAATAAATTATTATCGCAGGAAAACGCTGTCACTTATTCAAGATACAAATTGTTCTGTAGGACTTCCTTTGTTCTGTGACGTACGCCACAGTTTTAGGCACTTTCTGCTTCTGGGAATGCATGTAACGTAAGTTACCAAAAACTAGAAAAGTTTTTATGTGTAAAAAAGAACAAGCGATACAAAAGTAAGAATAATATTTTTTTTCTTTCTCAGAGGCTAACACTAAATAAGCAGCAATAGTTTTCTTTTCAAATTTTACTTATTTATTGTTTTGTGCACCATTCAATATGTGTAACATAAGTTACTGACATGCATGCAATGTAAGTTACCAATATGAAATGAGTTTACTTCTCTTGAAAATTGGCATATAAACTAAATAAGATGTATTCAGTTACAATACCAAAGTTTAAATAAATTATCACTGCCTTAAGATATTAATTTTAAAGAAACTCTTTGCATTAAGTCATGAATTTGGGTGTTGACATTCATATGTTTTCAAAATTGGACAAAATCTCTTGACAGGCACCAGGAGTTAAGGATGCAGTTATAATTAGAGATGCTAATGGTAGCAAAAAGAAATTACATGCATGGCATCTACATCATTCAGTTCGAGAAATGCACCAAATGTTTATGGAAGAAAATCCAGAATGCAAAATTGGAAAAAATTAATTCTTTGAGCTCCGTCCAAAGCATGCTTAGTAGCAAACTTCCAAGATGTGTTTGTCTTTGTAAGTATCATGAAAAGTTCGAATTGACTATGGAAGCCTTCAGAAATATTCATAATGTTCCATCTTTTGAAATTTATTTTATGTTTAGAAAAAACAGATGAGTGCGAGTCTCTAGAACAGATGAGTGGAGTGTCTAGTCTATTCTCAAAACCTCCACTGATTTGAAACATTAAGTAGATCCACCATTTAAGAGTACAAGAAGGTATATCAGAAGGGTTTTTTTAGTGAAAGATTTTGAAAAAGAAAATGATGAATCCAAGATAAAAGCTGGGGGTTGATATATGGTTAGATACGAGGATATGTTATATCCTGGTGTGGTAATGTCTGTTGAAAAGCAAGAATTTAAAGTCAATGTAATGGCTGCTGTGGGAATCTATTGTAAATGGCCAGAAAAAAAAGAGATGAAATATTCTACCAGAAGGAAAACATGGTGAAAAGAATTAAGTCCCCTGTACTAGTTAATAACAGAAGACTTGCACTATACTGCTTAAATAACTTAATTTGTATTTGTACATTATTGGAATAAAAGTTTGATACAAAGTGAATTTCGTAACGCAAGTTATTGTAAAGTAAGTTACCCATTTTAAAAATTATATTTAATTTAACTTTATTTAATTAACTTTGAAATCTAGGCATAAGTAATATTTAAACATGTCAGAAAAACGATACATATAATCTTAATCATGAAACATTTGAATAAAAACAGAATTTTGCCTTCAAGCATATTGCAAATTTATGCCATTCCTTTTTCGGTAACATAAGTTACCACACTAATTTTAGATTTTTACACTATCTACATATATATTTCTCTTACACGGCAACAAAAAAAGCTTCATTACAACTTTGCGAATAGCAACGCTAGAAAAACCGACCAATGATTGGTGCTAAAAATGTCACATGCCAAATCTAGCTGAGGTGGCTCAACATATAGCGCTTTTAAAAACGGAAACTGAAATAACCAGAGAGAGCATTCTCACCAAATGTAATCTTTTCCTAAATTCACCCTATCAGCCGCGACAATCACACTATTAAGTTAGGCAGAAGTGAGTTGTCTTTGTCGATAGATCTCCATTTTAGTATATTACGAATTTATTTGACGATTTTTGATTTATATCACGAATTTATTTGTTTTATTATTGTTAAGTTTACTAAAAGATGTAATTTAAAAAAAAAAAGTTGTTATATGGATTTGAATGATTGTTTTGAATTCTTAGAATTTCGTGCATTTGCAATGTATCTAAGTTAGTAGAGAAGGAAGCAAACCATATAAGATTGCACAGCCCACTAGTTTAAACTGAAAATATTAATTATTTTAGTTAGATTCTTTTGGTTTTGATTGTAATTTTAAGAAATCACTTTATTTTAATACGTGTATTAGTATTATTTGTTTGCTTCTAAGTTCTCAGAGCAATAAAGTTTATGTGAATGTAACGAAAGTTACCGTGGAATGGCTCAGTCGGTTTTATCAGGTTATTAGATAGGGAAATCGAAATATTCTCTTGATTTTGTCCATCCGCTAAATCCCCAGTTGGTTAAAAGAAAAAGAAAATAAAAACATTGTGCAGTATGTTGAATTTTGGTAAGGAAACCAGTTATTTTTTTCATTTTATCAATTTGAGATAATTGGTCAAAAATCAAACAGAGGTAACAGCAACTTTAAGAGCTTTTTAAAAATGCTACACACCCTGTAAAAGCAATATCATTACAGCCCCAAAAACAGTTCAAAATTGAGAACCTTGTTTTACAACCACAGGGACTAAAACTATATTTGTGTATTCTACTTTATTTTCTTTTCAGTGCAGAGTTTCTTGGAATAATAAAACTACCATTTTAGGTCAACTTTAACCAACTATTACTGAAAGAAATTCAAGTAATGAACCATTCTTAGTATCAGTTTTCATAAAAATAATTTTTTTATTATTTCTCAATGATTTGGGGTCATTTTTATCATCTTATATTGTATTCATAATAAAAACAGGCATTGTCCTTTAAGACTTCAGTATTTGCGTGAATGGATAGATATGGCTGCGTGATGAACAAAATGCAACATAAATAAGAATGCATATGCGTGATGAATAAAACATCATAAATAAAATAACACTGAAAACAAATTAAATCATAGCTACACAAGTAAACTCGTACTCGTCTCCAAAAACTTTTTCTAACAGTTCTACCACCTGAACAAAATAATAAAGCCTTTTATATGCTTATCTAAACATGACTTAGATCTTAACTATACTTATTTTTGTAATAAATTTGAAATAGAATCAACTTTTGATTTAAGAACAATTAACTTCAAAATATATTTTCACATACCTGTGTTTCAAGAAGTAGTTATTAATGAAACATCACATAGCAGATTGCTTATATATCCAAGGAAAAGAAACTTTAGACAATGCAGCTTTTTTTTTTTTAACCTGTTCCTAAAGTTACAAAAAAAAAAATATAGAATAATTCAGCAGAGGAAAAAAACTGAGTTTTCAACTGAAAATTTTATTACAAAATTAGATATTCCAAATTTTACGACAAGGCAGAGTATAAAGTTTTGAAAAGGATGTTAATAATTTTGGAATAAATGAATTAATTTCAAACTCAGCCGAACAAAACCATTGAGTGAGCAGCATTATTGTTTTTTCTGGGTAAAAATCTGGAGATTTCAGGTCAGGGTGTTTTTTCCCCCCTCATAAAGTGTAGGATGGGTACAAGAAATGTGTCAATATATAGTATTTTATTTAAAATGTTATTATTGTAGCCTTTTCAATATATCATCTTTAAAAGATGAGACTAAATTTATTTTAACAATATGGCAAGATTCTGCTTATTTTTATTTCTGTTTATATTTGGCAAGATTCTGTTTTGGTACAACATTAATTTTTAAAAAAATTAAGACACATGGTGAAAATATACATTTATTTAATTTTTATAACCATTGTTGAACAGTCAACCCAATTTTGGGTTTACAACCAGTAATGTTCAACTTTGTAGACTGGTAATTTTAAACCAATCCAGAAGATAAGGAAACCTCCTGGATCAGTAGGAGGTATGATTTGTTATGGGAACATGAAAGACTTTGTGACACGACAGATTTAATGTGTATAAGTAACCATTTACTACATAGGGAGTCTTCAACCAGTGGGGACTGAACACACAACCCCCTGGACATGGGCCCATTGCCCAACCAACAAGGCTATTCTGTCCTAAAATAATATGTTTAGCTTGTAGAATATATTGTTTTTATTGAACAAACATTTTTTAATGTGTCACCAGGGGTCTGTCCAGGGCAAAAGCCAGGTTAAGCGGTAGTTTCATAAAATACTTTTAACACATTTTCGAAAAATATTAAAATTTTTTTGAAAATATTTTCTTATTTTACTATATTATTGTGTTGATTTTTTAATATAATTTTTAAATTTCACAAAATAGGTACCTCTCAAAAAAACCTAGACAGACCCCTGGTCACTCTAAGTAGTTTTTGCTCAAAGTGTACCTAATGGCAAATACAGAATGACTAAAAAAAAACAAAAACAGTTTAATATAAGTTAATTAAGCAAAAGAAAACCATTCCAGGTGATTATATATCAATAAATTTTTATATTTACAGTGGTTCCTAAAAGTGTTTATTCACTTATAACTTTTATTGAAATAAGACACTTTTCATTAATTAAAATGAGCATTTCAGAATGAGTATTTAATAATAAGATGTACAATTTATTCTTATCAAAACTGCATGGAATACTTTTAAAATAAAGCAAAATTTTATTTTTAATAAATCAATAATCAAAAAGCAGCAAAAAGTCATTCTCCATTGTAATGTTTTATTTAATTTTCTTTCAAATTTTTAGTATTTACAATTTAATATCAAACTTATGATAGCAAAATTACATTTTAATTTTTTAATTACATAGTCATAGTAAAACAATAGACAAAATTTAAAAGTGGATTATTTGTCAACATTAGAGATAAATCAACAATGAATATTGCTAAATTAGTTTATTGCGTCTTATTGCACTGAGCAACATGTGATAAAATGAAAACAGAAACTTCATATCAGAGATAAAAACTATAAAATTTGTGGAAAAATTCTCATTTGAGTAATGTAAAAGTTTCTTTAAAGTTTAATAAAACATATTCTGTTTGATTTTCACCAAGAAAAAAAAAACTAGTTACATTTATTTACAGACTTTTAAAAGCTATTGTAGAAGCAAAAGGAAACTACTAAATGTTAATTTAATGAAAAATTAGAATATTTACTAATAGGCGGAGATTTTTTTTGAAAGTGCATGATGACTTTTGTAAGATAAAGTTTCTGTTACTTTCTGATTATTGATTTTTAAAAATAAACCTTTGCATTATTTTTTAAATACGCCATTCAGTTTTGTCAAGAATAGAATATATTTTTTATTATTAAATATCCATTCTGAAATATTTATTTTAATTAATGGATATTCTTATTTCATTGAAAGTTGTAAGTGAATGAACACTTTTGTGAGTCATTGTATTTGCATTTTTATATTAAGCCATTTTACACTATATTTTATTCTAAACAGTGCTCATTATAAAATGTATTGATCATATTTTCTTTAAACCAATATCTCAAGTCAAATGTTTAAATAATGTTGTTTTGAACTTGCATTAGTATTTTAAGAGATTTAGTTACAAAAATGAATGTCACAAATGCAAAATTGTCTAATTTATTGATGCATACTCTAAAGAAAAAACAATGGACACAATTTGTAAAATTTTTATTCTTTTTTGCCTTATATGAAGTTAAAATATGCATAGAATTTCAATTTAAACACATGGTTTTAAGTTTAGCATAGCTAACTGTCTTTGTTTTTACAACTAGAAATTTGTATCCGCACAGTGCAGAAAAAAAAAGTCTTTCTTCCTAATGAACACATATGAATAATTTTTTTTTATATTTTATGTTTATACATCATTTGACATGTTTCCTATACATTCCTTAGTCTTTGCCAGCTTTTTGGAGTAAAAGAAGATCCAGTTTGGAATGCAAGTAACATTTCCGAACTTTCAATATTGTGATTACTATACAATTCGAATTTTGAATAAAAAATTAAATATTTACCAACAAAATAGTAAAACTAAATGTTAACATAAAGTCGGTTCTTTAAAAAAATTTTTTTTTTTTTAAAAATTAAAATATGTTGTAAAATGTCAAAATGAAATCAAGAAAATTAGCATTAATGCAACAATTGTATGTTTGTCGCAAACATTGCACTCCTCACCAGGTATAATTAGAATAATTATAATTCTACATAACTAAACAAATGGTAGATGCAATAAAAAAAAATTATTTTGCCACTAAAATACACAGCATTGATATCTCTAAAAACTAAACTGTTTTTTTTTTGCTCTGCTGATTTAGCATGACTTTACATTCACTTTAAATGCTCTCTAGCAAACTCAATATGTTTAAGCAATCTGTGGTACACTCTTTTTGCCTTTCTTTATAACACTGGCCAGTAGAACTGTTATCATTACAATAATTTGTTATAATATGGATATTTCACCACTAATCTTCCAATTAAATGATCAGGGTAGCCACTAAAATCAGGTTTCAAATTTCCCTGATTTTTCCAGCAAAAATCTAAAATTTCCAGGTCAGCGCGTTTTTTTTGCAGTATAGGTACAAGAAAAGTGTCAATATTAGTGTATTAGTCAATATAATAGTGTAGTATTTCATTTAAAACGTTATTTTTTTAATATATCATCTTGAATAAATGTGGATGAAACAATATGTTTAGCTTTCAGAAAAAAAACGGTTTTAATGAATAAAAGTTTTTTTCAAGTGTTAAATAGTTTTTGCATAAAATGTACCAAATAGCTATGACCCAAAACAACCTTGGATATGTACTGTTTAATATATTTTTATTAAGCAAAAGAAAATAATTCCATGTGATTAGAAACCAATAAATTTTTATATTTATTATACATTTCAATATAGAGCCATTTTATACTGTATTTAATACAAACAGTGCTCTTTATAAAATTCATTGAAATAATTTTCTTTAAACCAATATCATAAGTCAAATGTTTAAATAATGTTGTTTGCTTCAATTTAGCACTATTATTTTAAGACATATTCAGTATTTGTAAAGGAAAAATTGTCAATTTCTTGTTGCATATTCTGTACAGAAAAAAAAACTAGATAAAATTCTTTAACTTTTATTCTTTTTTTTTCTTTCTTAATAGAAATTAGAATATATTAAGAATTCCAATCTAACATGGTTTCCTAGTTTAGATGAGTTAATTGGTTTTGTTTCTACATCTAGGCAATTCCATGGTGTTGGAAAAAAATGAACATTAATTTCTTAGAAAAACTATCTAATAAAACAAAAGTTTATAATCATCAAATTTTTACATTAAATATTTAGTATATCATAACCTATCGAAAAACAATTTGTTTTATGAAAACTCATTGATCAATTTCAAGTTAGAATATAAATAACTTAAAGTAGAGCATAGTTTCAAAAATTTTATTAGGTTACTGAGGTGAAATATATTATTGTAAATTAACCTTAAGGAATATTTATATTGTATCTCTTCATATTTTACTTCATTTCATAAAGAAAAGGTGAAATAAGAGATCAAAATAAATAAAAACAAATGTAATGAAAAGTAAAGCAGTGGTCTGACTGAGCGGTGCGTAAAAATAATTAATTATTAATTTAAAATAAAAATATTTATCATTATCAAAATCTTGTTTTAAACAGAAAAAAAAAAATAATTTGATTACATTAATTCTAGTGCTACAGTACAATTTATTATGTATTTTGGTGTTGCACATAAAACATCAAAAGTCTATCTTGAAAATTTTTTTTGTACGTTAAAATGAGGAATGTTTCTACATATTTGTGCAAGACAACCTGTTTTGTTATAGTTCACTTTAATTATTCTTCTTTCCATTTTCTATTATTAGTGCGATTTAAAAAAAAAATGTACTTTGTTACAGATTCCCTTACCACGGTTGAAATTTCAAATGATGTTGCCCTTCATTAAGAGCTTATGACTTATTGAAAACTGATATTTATAAGTTAAAAATCATTATTTCTAAATCTTCAATTTTTTACCNCAAAACAACCTTGGATAAGTACTGTTTAATACATTTTTATTAAGCAAAAGAAAATAATTCCAGGTGATTAGAAACCAATAAATTTTTATATTTATTATACATTTCAATATAGAGCTATTTTATACTGTATTTAATACAAACAGTGCTCTTTATAAAATTCATTGAAATAATTTTCTTTAAACCAATATCATAAGTCAAATGTTTAAATAATGTTGTTTGCTTCAAATTAGCACTATTATTTTAAAACATATTCAGTATTTGTAAAGGAAAAATTGTCAATTTCTTGCTGCATATTCCATAGAGGAAAAAAACTAGATAAAATTCTTTAACTTTTATTCTTTTTTTCTTTCTTTCTTAATGGAAATTAGAATATATTAAGAATTCCAATCTAACATGGTTTCCTAGTTTAGATGAGTTAATTGGTTTTGTTTTTACATCTAGGCAATTATGGTGTCGGAAAAAAATGTACATTAATTTCTTAGAAAAACTATGTAATAAAACAAAAGTTTATAATCATCAAATTTTTACATTAAATATTTAGTATATCATAACGTATCAAAAAACAATTTGCTTTATAAAAACTCATTGATCAATTTCAAGTTATAATATAAATAAGTAGAGCATAGTTTCAAAAATTTTATTAGGTTACTGAGGTGAAATATATTATTGTAAATTAACCTTAAGGAATATTTATATTGTTTGTCTTCATATTTACTTCATTTCTAAAAAAAAGGTGCAATAAGAGATGAAAATAAATAAAAACAAATGTAATGAAAAGTAAAGCAGTGGTCTGACTGAGTGGTGTGTAAAAATAATTAATTATTAATTTAAAATAAAAATATTTATTATCAAAATATTGCTTTAAATATAAAAATAATTTGATTATATTAATTCTAGTGCTACAGTACAATTAATTATGTATTTTGGTGCAGCACGTAAAATATCAAAACTGTACCTTGAGAATTTTTTTTGTACATCAAAATAAGGAATGTTTCTACAATGTAATATGTTTCATATTTGTGAAAGACAACCCGTTAACCCGTTTTAGTTCACTTTAATTATTATTCTTTCCATTTTCGATTATTAGTGTGAATGTAAAAAAAAAAAAAAAAAAAAAAAAAAAAAAAAAAAAAAANAAAAAAAAAAAACGGTACTTTGTTACATATTCCCTTACCACGGTTGAAAATTTGAAATGATATTGCCATTCATTTAACAGCCTATGAATTATTGAAAACTGATATTTATAAGTTAAAAATCATTATTTCTAAATCTTCAATTTTTTACTTTGGAAATGATACTTAGTTTACTTAATACTAAGTTTAAAATTTTGGTCATCTGGCTGCCCAACTTGAAACCTGTCCCTGTACAGTGCAGAACAAAAAAACAAAGTTTTGTTTTCCTTCCTTCTAATAAACAAATAAATTTTTTTTTCCATTCTAAATTTATATATCATGTTTTCCATACATTCCTTGCTTTTGTCCGCTTTTTAGGGAAAAGGAGAAACAATTTTGAACCAAAACCTGCCCTAAACAGTTATCCCAAACTCCTACTTGAAATAGTTATACCTTGTTACCATAGTTACTATGTCACGGGTTCAGACTAATATCTAGGGAAGTTCTTACTTTAGACAAACTATATCTTTTATTCACATAAGTGGGTGTTTATCAACATATTTCTGATATCACACATTAAGGCAGTACACATAGAGTAGAAAAGTAACTCAACTTACTTTGGAATCCATGAAAGATTGATTCAGTGGGAAGAATCTGTTGATAAACCACGTGTAATAAGTACAACATTGGAAATGGAAGAGGAGGACTTTAAGTAGTTAGAGACATTGGTGGGAGCACAAAAATGTATTAACTGATCCATGGATAAACCTTTTTTGGATTTACTCTTTTGTTTTGCAGATGGTCCTGAAAAAAAAAAAAAAAGAGGACATGAGCATGTTAACAAATATTAAAACAATATAAAAAAATGAATCAATTTTTACTTAGGTCAACAAAGAAACATTTTATTTCAGTTACTTTTTATTAAATAATAATTTTTTTTTCTCCCATATAAGACTGAAATCAATTAAATTTAATTAATGAATTAATATTTGAAAAGACTATATTAACATCAAGTGTCATCCACTACAATATTTAAAAAATGTATTTGAACTTGAATGGATGAATAAAAAGTATTTTATGAATAATTGAAAATTTGAACAAGATATATAAATATATATAGGAAGAGTGTGAACTAATAGCAGGAATTGACAAAAAATAAGGCATGGATTCAGATAACTATAAAAGTATAAATTTGGTCCACACGTGCCACCGCGTAATGTTCTTTATTGACTTTATATGACACAGCGAATATAAAATAATTAAATATTTAAATGCATGCAATTAGCTATTTTTTTTTTTGTACAAACAGAGCTATAAGTTAGAAATTATCACTGATGTTATCTTTAAAATATGTGATAAACTGAATCGCTAATAGTAAAATTTAAAACAATGACTAGCGCTTAACCCATCAGAAAATTCCATTTTGTTTTTCATTCATCGCTATTTAATCAATGAATTAATAGTTGAAAAAATTATAGAAACATCAAGTATTATCCACAACAAGTTAAAAAAAAATGCATTTGAACTTGAGTGGATAAATAAAAAGTATTTTATGAACGATTGAAAATTTGAACAATATATAGGGAGAGTATGAACTAATAGTACTAATTGAAATAACAGGAGTTTTGTTAATATGACACTTTAAGGTTTGGGACACAACAAAAAACTACGTAACTGGCATGAGGAATTTTATGAATAGTTTTCTTACTAATTTTAAACAACTTAAAATCTAAAATTATAACAATAAAATTTTGAATTCAGAAGTACTAATACAAAATATCAAAAGACATGACTAACATCTAGATTTATTTTTTCAAAGAAACTTTTCTTTAACTTCTTTGAAACAACTGTAGTTTAACTGCTTCCATGATTATTCCGAGTTAACTTGGGTACATATATATTGCAAATATTTATCATTCTGAGAAAACTCAAGACTCAGCAGAGTTTGTCAGTACATTTTGTTTTATCACGTTTTTACTCGGTCGGAAGAGAAAAAATCTGTAGTGATTGGAAGTTTTGATGCTGGACCGTGGGACTGCTCACGTGTTTTGTGCAATTGTATGTACAATGGTTGCTGAATTTACATAGCAACAAAAGTAAAAAAAAAAAAAAAATGGAGTATTTCTTCATTGACAGTTGAAAAGTATCACTTCGTGTTGTACCTTGTTTTCAGGGATGTGATTGACAAAAACACAAAAAAGAGGAAGTTTATAACTGTAGCATTAAACGCGCAAAAGAAAAAATGATATGAATTCAATAGCCAATATGATAATGATTACATTATTATCTATTCAAATAANTAATTAATAGAATAAAAAATATGTTTATTTTCTGTTCAAAATAGTCGGTAAGGAAGTGGTTAAGCATCTATTTAAAAATAAAAGATATGAGTAATTTATATATAATGAAAAAGCAATTAAATTAATTTTCATTTAGACACTGAGAAAGTTCGAAGCCTACAGCAATATAATTTTGTTAACGGTGACAAAGTGAGCGTAGTTTGACACATTTTTTCAAAAAAACTAAACATATACATTGTCTCTTAACCTTTGAGACTATTTTACATTGTTCTAATTAGATCAATGAAACAAATCAATTAATAAATATATTTAATCAAATAACATGAAAACTAAACATAGTGTGGTTTAGTTTTATATGAGAGAAAAATTGTTTTTATTTAATAAAAAGTGACAAAAATAAAAAATTTTCTTTGTTGACCTAAGTAGGAATTGATTAAATTTTTTTTTGGAATTTTTTTTAAATATTATTTGTCATTAAACAATTGAGCTATATTCATGCCATTGGAAAAATGTTCTTACGGACATAAAAAAATAATTTTATTTGGGCTAGATCAGAAATAGAATTTCAAATAGTAAGCATACATTTTCACTAGCCCATTTATACGTCAGTATTATACAGAGCTCATTCTAGGCAGAAAAAAGGGCATTATTATTCTAAAAAGGTAATAATTTCTTTCTATGGGCTTTACACGTTCTATTAAAAAACACTGTCAATTAGTAAAAGAATTTTTCTTTTTACTTTACTAAAAGTAGCAAAGCAATTATATTAATTACTAATTTTTATAAATAAATTAACATCGAGTAATAAATATCGAGTTAATGAGCTAATTAGCTTAGTAATTTGTTTAAAATGCATGCATATATTAATAAAATAATAATTGTATGTTTTTAAGTGACTGTAGTTATGATTTAATAATTAAAATGATTAATAATAATTATGATTTAATGATAGTGGAATAACTGCAAGTTTTCAAAGACAAGTGCAACAAGGGAGTGTGATGGCTATTTTTCCTTCCCCATATAAATCTATGTATTGACAGCAATGACAAACTAAATAAAAAGAGTTGAAAATAACAAAAATTTAAGAAATCCATTATAGAGTTTGAGGGAAAAATAAAGAAGGGTTAAGGAAAGAAAGGGCAAAAAGGGTATGGAGTCCATTAAATCAGGGCACTAATTTACTTCAGGGGCAACAGGGTGGATTCTTTTAACTAAAAGGGCAGCAGGGTGCTGCACCCTGTTTACCCTGCCTAGAATGAACTCTGTATTATATTGTCTTCATAAAAAGGAATTAAATTATTTAAAATAAAAATTACAGTGCAGAGAATATGCAATGTCACAATTACAAAGAAATATGCTATTCTATGGAAAAAACACAGACTAAAACATGATGCAGAAAATAAAAATAAAATAGCATATCATCCCAACCCTTCACATTGATAGTTGGGGTCATTACGGACAATTATTTCATCTAGGTAAAGTTAAATTTTTTTGTTCTTGGAGGACTAATGGCCTGATATTAATTTCAAGTCCTGGAGATAAAGAACAAAGTTAATGATTTAGTCTACTTAAATAAACAAGTTTTAAAAATTTTCTTTTTAATTACTTATTTTCAGTTTTGTACCTGCTAGATCATGTCAGAAAGTGTTTAAAATTTTGACTTGCTCAGCATCTGAAATTTCAGTTTATCACTTAGAAAGAAAAAAAAAATTTGTGTTGGCAGCATAGCATGCACAGAACTCCAGTTGCAGAAAAATCACTTAAACTCTTCATTCTGCACATTGTTTCAAAACAGTAATTAAATATGCAGATCAGCAAAACATTGAACATCCTAATAAATATTGTGTTTTCCAGAATATCTTTCAGCATTGAAGATTTTCATGCTCTAGAACACATTCTTAAAGGCTTCGAGGGGGTGACCTCAAATATGCTAATTAATAAGTACAGTCGACAGTTTAAGTTATGAAATAGGACATAGAAACGTACTTTTTCTGAATAAACATACTTTTTTTTCGTCGGATTTGGATTTCGGACTGCGAAAATATAGGGGGTAGCCGCAATCTGGAAAATATAGTCCCAATAGCTAGATTGGGAGAGTGCTCAAAAATTTGGATCCGTTAATGTAAATTTTATTTTTTCCGTGTTTTGCTGTATCTTGAGAACTTTAAACTTTTTACACACAACTATAAAATTTGTTTACCCAAGCAAAAAATAACTTATAAGGTGTGGAAGAAAAAAGGCAATAATTCATTTCTGTTTATGATGTGATAATTTAAGGTCACATGCTTTCTTTTGAATTAAGTGTTGTTTTCAAAGACTCAGACAAGTATATAAGATATATATATTTAACACAACTAAAGAGAAAAGAAGGATAAAAAGAAAAAAAAAGCGAAGAAAATTAATACATTTTATCTACTGTGGATAAGCTGCAAGTATATAGAACTCAAAAAGTAATATAAAAATATAGAGAAAACAAGGAAAATATTAAAGATTAATAAAAAGAGAAGAAGAAAAATTGTTAAAATAAAATATTTGTAGAAAAAAATTAAAAAATATAAATTAAAGAGTTGGAAAACAAAAAATGAAAAGATATCTCTTCATCATTAATCTTTTTCTTTTTTTGCACTTTTTCTATGTTTTTAACACACATATAAAATACACTTTCAGACAAAAAGAGACTAAACTAAAAATACTGTTAAATCTGTGTCTTTTGGAGGAAAAAAAACAAACTAATTTCAGATTTAAAATTATACCACCCGAATTAAGTAAGCTCAAGTAATTGCATAAAGGAAACAAAAAATTTGTTCCAAAGTGTTATCAATACCATTTTCTGATTTACCAAGTTTTGTTTTCTCAATTTCTTCTTCAGATAACTCCTCATTCTCAAGCACCCTAGTTGTCAAATGTTTTAAAAATCCCTAAAAAAAAATAAATCTGATTAACTCAAATCACATTACATTGTTTAACATCAAACATAAGATATATACATTCATCTAACATAAGAAATTAGTCAGTGATGAGACGTATATGATTCAAGATTACTACTTAAAGTATATGAGCCATATTAACAAAACATTTGAAATTTGTGTATTATAGGCAACTTGGAATGGATAATCTGCAGTCCTCTGCAACCAAACACTAATTGAATACTTAATTAGCATATAATAAGAGAATGTTTTTTAACACTAGACATACCAACACTTAACATATATCCTATTTCTACCATAGTTGGTCAAATGACCGCACTTTATGTTTCTTGATTGATTGTATGAAATCAGGGGTTTTTTTTTTAAAGAGAATTTTGTGACACAAGACACACAATTTGCGAAAATTAAATATTATATTAAAAAATCAACACAGAAATATAGTAAAATAAGAAAATTGGCTCTACAAATAAAAATCTTTTATGACTGGTACATTTTTATACATATTTGTCCCATATGTTCCAAAACAATTTTGCAATTGTAAAATTTTGGGCTCAAAATTGTACCCAAATTTAAAAATCCATAAAAATCATTGCCCATAGTCAAATTTAAACTTGAATTTAATAAAAAGCATACATTTAATAGTACTAACACTAAAAGTTATCTTCATTATGATAACATTTTCGACTGGGTCATACAGAGAAGAGTTTCACAGAGAAAAAAAATAAAGATTTATTAGAATAAAATTAGAATAATGTTTATAATAATAGTTCTAATTTTGACTTCCTGTAAACTTTACAGAACTATACATCTTAAAAAACTCTGCGCAAAAAAAGTCGCTATAATATGGCGCGAGTGACCAGTTAGGCTTACCACGCCAGACAATCTGACCAAACACCTGCTACGCATTCGTAGAGCTCTTTTCCCCCGGAAAAGCAATGAACGGGAGGGTTCCATTGAAAATCAAAATGGGTAATTAACCCCAGAGTTTATAATTTTCACAGGAATACATTGTTGTTCAACAAATTTTAAGAGGTGGGGGGGGGAGAGAATCTTAGAACTTGCTTTTTTAAAAGTATTTTGTAAAACTACCGTTTTTCATTAAGTTGAATTTGTGAAGGTACCACTAAACGGTAGAAAATTTGCCTTAGACAGATCCCTGGAGATATGAATGTTAGAAAGGAAATAAACTTAAAAAACTTTATTATAATTAAACAAAATTGTATATTGCCAATTCTTATGTATCACAAATACGAATAAGAATTTTTAATCCATTGCTCAAAGCATTTTTTCCATTGTACATTTTCCTCACACATCTTTCTTCTAATTATAAGAATTATAATTCTTATAATTAATAATATTTCTTCTAAGAACTTGTGCTGTCTTGATTGTTTTGACATTTTTCTGGGTGAAAACTAACAGTTAGTTAGAAATGGAGTAAAGCTATCAAAATAAAAATATGAGCTACTTATCAAAACATTTAGTTTCTGTCACTTTTTCTTACACAAAAATGCCAATATAAAATTTTAGGTACTTTCTCAAAATTTGAATCCCCCGTTATTCTGATTGAACAAACTACGCAACAGTCTTTGCAGAAATGTGCAACTCATCAAATGCAATATGTTGAACACGCATTGCATCGTAATTTCTGATCCGATAACCTTATAAAGCAACAAATTGTTCTCCTGGTCAAGTGACCGGTTGTGGTAGAAATAGGTACAAAACAAGTATAATTCAAAACAAACAAAATACAAAAATAATAGAATATTAACACTATATAATTGTTAGAAGAAGTCATAAAGTTAAATGTGCAAAAATAATAAGATGACAAGCACATTTTATGATGCAAAATATCTTAAATGGTCATTTGACCGGTAAAGGTATATTACATGTTAAAGGAATTTCATGAACACTGTACAATACAGTATCTAGATTTAACGTACTTTGATTTAACAAAAAAATTTTCTGTCTCGACAAAAAGGGTTCTGAAATGCCCCTATTTAACGAACAACAATAGCTGGAAAAAATGCTCAATCCTAGTAATGGAAGTTTTACAGAATATGTGTGTTTTAACTATTTCAAGGGTCAGGATTCCAAATATCTAAAAAAAATTTTTTTTATTCAGAGAAAGTACGTTTTTGTGTCTGATTCAGTAAATTAATATTAATAGTTAGCACTAATTAATTAGCATATTTAAGGTCACCCCTACGAACCATTAAGATTGACACTTAGTTCATGAAAATCCGATAATTAGAATGAAAGTTATTCTGGGTGATATCTTTTTTTTTGCGGACTGTACATAAATATTCAGATTTATTTATAATATGTTAATATTTGTTTAAATTTAAGCTATTCTTCTAATGTTTATAGTGAAACAACTGCATTAGCCATTTTTAATCCCCCCCAGTTTCTTCTAGTGTTTTACAAAAAAATAAATAAATAAAATTCTTCCAGACAAAATATCGACCCTGTTTTGGAACTTTAATAAGTTAACTTAGATAAAAAATAAATATTGAGACTATGTGACTATTGTTGCTAAATTAAAAAAAAAAAAAGAAAAAACTATAACTTTAGAGGAATTGTGTCTATGGGGGTGGGGGGCACTCCACTGCACCTTACCTCGGATAAAGCTTTTGAGGGAATTTGATGTCCAGGAATACCAAAAAGCTTCTCCACTCCAGCCGTTTCTTTCCATTTCATCAATTTTTTTGTTGGAGGAGCAGAATCAAAGATGGCTATGATATCTGAGGTATCAGATAGTTGACTTTTCATTTCTTCAGCAGAAATACTCATCCTTTCATCTATTATGAGTTTCCTTTTTCTTCTGGTCCTCATTGTTCTTTAAGAGATAAAATTCAATCTATTTTAATAATCACAAAAACATGACATTAAAATAATGATTACATGCACAGCAATAAAGGGCAAGACTGTGAAATTTATCTGGTGACCAGACCTTGAATAATGATTTTGCTCCTAAATTGTTATAAATATTATAAGATATTAAAATAAAAATATTATATTACATATACAATTGAACCTGTTTATCTCAAAAACCTCCATGTACGAAAATTTTTAAAATTCCCCACATTTACTGTCTAAAGTCAATGTATTTTCCATGCTTGTGTTGAAATTTAATTAAAGTGACCACACGTCCCGATTTTGGCGGGACAGTCCCTCGTCCCGCCGATTTTTAAAAATGTCCCGCTTTTTAGAAAATATCTGCATTTCTTATTTTAAATGTACTGTAAAAATATATTACCTATTATTTATTAAGTATTATGGTAAATATAAAGAAATAAAAAATACATTAAAAAAACACATAAAATGCATGCAGAGTAAACTAAATTAGGCAATGCACCGAGTTAGATTTACTCTGTGGTGTGCGATCATTGTCGTTACGTCTCGGCTTAATTCAGGTAAGTGCAGACAGTGCGGTTTGTTGTTTTCAATTTGACGTTCGGTTTGACTCATTATTTGATTGGCGAAGGAAGTGGTAGAGCAATAGTCGCCAAACGTAACGGTCAATAAGGTAAAATTTAATACTCTTCTTTAGCCTTTTGTTGCAAATTTTTTTTATTTATTTCTAGTATTTACCCACAGAATAAAAGATGAGTAAAAAAAGAGAATGCAAATTTAATGAAGAGCTAAGCAGAGAATTTCCATTTATTAAAAAACCAAAATAGACTATATGGTACGGTGTGATAAATGCAATGTTGAATTTTCGGTCTCACATGGCGGAAAAAACGATATTACAAAGAGGCACAAAAGATTTTTGAATAATGCCGCTTTCTCGTTTAAAATGAAACAGTTTTTTCGCAGTGTTAGCTTTGGAAACTCAGAAAAACAGCTAGCATTAGCGGAAGAGCTATTTGCTTTCCACATCATAAACCACAATCAAAGTTTCAGATCAATGGATTGTACGTCGCAAATGATCAAAACATTATATGACAAAAAATTTGCATGTGCAAAGACAAAAATCGAAGCAATTATTTGTAATGTTGTTTCACCATATTCGTTTACACAATTGCAGAAAGAATTAGAAAAATGCGCATTTATATCCATATATTCTGATGCTCCCCACCACAAAGATTTAAAATTATTTCCCACAATTGTTAGATTTTTTGATCCAGAAACAGGAATTAAAATTAGAATATTAGATTTTCTTTCATTGCTGGGTGAAACTTCACAAATAATTTTTGATTCAATAAGTACTATTTAAAAAAAGAATAATTTGAACAATAAAATTATTGCCTATTGTGCGGATAGCACTAATGCAAATTTTGGAGGAAAAGCTAGAAGAGGCATCAATAACGTTTTTACGAAACTTAACGAACATTTGAACCAAAAAATTATTGGAGTAGGTTGTGCAGCGCACATTCCACGTAATACTATTAAAACAGCATCTGACTTACTTCCAGTTGATGTTGAAAATATTCTTGCAAAAATTTATTCGTATTTTTATACATATATATACTGTGCTTGTTGAAAGTTTGAAGGATTTTTGTGAAAGCGCAGAAATCGAATACAAAAGAATTCTTGGTTACAGCAAAACACGATGGCTAGCTCTTTTACCAGCTGTAGATAATATTTTAAAAATATACGAACCATTAAACCATACTTTTTATCACAAGATAAATGTCCAAGAATATTGCAGCTCTTTTTTGAAAATGTCACATCACAAATTTGGCTTCAGTTCATCCACAACCAAGCTACATTATTTTACAATGCTGTGAAAATTATTGAAGGGAAAAATTTCAATTACGGAAGTGTCAAATGAAATCAATAATTTAAAAACAAAATTACGAGAAAGAATTGATAACGATTACATTCCTTTAATTATTCGAAAAGGCATTACTAGGTTGAAAGAACAATGTGCCATTGAACGACCTGATTTTCTGAAACACATGTCAAAATTTTTTACAATAACTGCTTGGAATATCTTGAAGAATGGACAATTCAATTCGAAGATATCAAAAATTCTCATTCGGTGACATTAAAAAAGGAGATTTTATAGGTATATGTGGAAATTTTTTTTGAATATATTAGTAACCATTTTCCGAAAAATAATATTTGCGAAAATGATCTTTTTGATGAGAGGTGAGGTGTCATTGGTAAAAAGATATGCTACAGATGAAAAAATTAAATGTTGGTTGTCTTCAAATGTGGAAACAGACAAAAAATGGACGGAGTTATTCCTTCATTTTAAACAGAATAATATTCCTTATCAAAATATTTTGAAAATTGTAGAATTCGCGCTCTCCCTTCCAGGAACAAATGTAGCAACAGAACGTGTTTTTTCTAGTATCAATAAAATATGGACAACTGAAAAAACGCAGTTGAACATTAAAACTTTAAAANCGGGTGAAACTTCACAAATAATTTTTGACTCAATAAGTACTATTTTGAAAAAGAATAATTTGAACGATAAAATTATTGCCTATTGTGCGGATAACACTAACGCAAATTTTGGTGGAAAAGCTAGAAGAGGCATCAATAACGTTTTTACGAAACTTAACGAACATTTGAACCAAAAAATTATTGGAGTAGGTTGTGCAGCTCACATTCTACATAATGCTATTCAAACAGCATCTGACTTACTTCCAGTTGATGTTGAAAATATTATTGCAAAAATTTATTCGTATTTTTGTATATATACTGTGCGTGTTGAAAGTTTGAAGGATTTTTGTGAAAGCGCAGAAATCGAATACAAAAGAATTCTTGGTTACAGCAAAACACGATGGCTAGCTCTTTTACCAGCTGTAGATAATATTTTAAAAATATACGAACCATTAAATCATACTTTTTATCACAAGATAAATGTCCAAGAATATTGCAGCTCTTTTTTGAAAATGTCCCATCACAAATTTGGCTTCAGTTCATCCACAACCAAGCTACATTATTTCACAATGCTGTGAAAATTATTGAAGGGAAAAATTTCAATTACAGAAGTGTCAAATGAAATCAATAATTTAAAAACAAAATTACGAGAAAGAATTGATAACGATTACATTCCTTTAATTGTTCGAAAAGGCATTACTAGGTTGAAAGAACAATGCGCCATTGAACGACCTGATTTTCTGAAACATATGTCAAAATTTTTTACAATAACTGCTTGGAATATCTTGAAGAATGGACAATTCAATTCGAAGATATCAAAAATTCTCCTTTGGTGACATTAAAAAAGGAGATTTTATAGGAATATGTGGAAATTTTTTTTGAATATATTAGTAACCATTTTACGAAAAATAATATTTGCGAAAATGATCTTTTTGATGAGAGGTGAGGTGTCATTGGTAAAAAGATATGTTACAGATGAAAAAATTAAATGTTGGTTGTCTTCAAATGTGGAAACAGACAAAATATGGAAGGAGTTATTCCTTCATTTTAAACAAAATAATATTCCTTATCAAAATATTTTGAAAATTGTAGAATTCGCGGTCTCCCTTCCAGGAACAAATGCAGCAACAGAACATGTTTTTTCTAGCATCAATAAAATATGGACAACTGCAAAAGCACAGTTGAACATTAAAACTTTAAAATCTATATTAATTGTAAAATATAATTTGACCATTCAAATTATATTATATTTTACACAATTATATTTTACGAATGTACATAAATGTACGTACGCACATGAATGTACGATACGTAGATGAATTCATGTGAAATATTTCACGACATTTTGACAAATGATCCGAATCTATTGCAAAGTATTCACTTGGATCAAAAATATGACCTTGAATGAAAATCATAATTTTTTTGCATAAAAAAATTTATTTGATTAAAAATCATGATGTTCAAATTATTACTTTTTTACAAATATTTTTATAGTTACCAATAACTAACAATAAATACATTTTTGTACAAGTATATAAATGTATACAATAAAATATATGTAACTAAATTGTAATTCTCATTTCATCCCATTTGTCCCGCTTTGTCTCAATGAAAATGTGGTCACTCTAGATTTAATCCATAAAATTCTGAAATATATTCAAATATTTTACAACTAGTAATAACAAAACCATAATTTTGAAAAACTGACAAAACAAAATCCTTTTAGGTTGATATTAATTAGATGAATTCTCAATGTAAGATGAAAGTTATTTCAATAGACATTCCAACATTTTTAAACTAACATTATTATTTGTTTTAAGAGTAAAACATTTGAATACGCTCTATTTTAAATTTAGCAGTGATTAATATGAAAATAAATTACATTGTAAAACTTACTTTAACTAATGAAACAAATATTTAGTTGGAGTAATTACAAATAAACGCAAGAAATAGTCAAGCCTGAAAATATACAAAATTTTAAAATTTCCAAATACAAATAAGTGATTCAGATGAGCATTTTTGGAACTCTTTGCAGTATGTTGCTTATAGCTCGCTTATCATAGAGTTGTTGCCGTTGTTGTTCATTTAGGTCGCACTAGAGCTGCACAATGGACTATTGGCGACTGTCTGGGAAACATCCCTAAGGATGATCCGAAGACATGCCATCACAATTTTGATCCTCTGCAGAAGGGATGGCACCCTCGCCTCGGTAGCCCGACGACCTGCACGCGAAGTCAAGCACTTTACGATAGAACAGTTTAACGAGGACCCATACCGCACATCCACGGTCCCTACGCAGGCTGATCCAAGAGGTCACACACCCGTACACTGACCGTAGCCAGTGATGCTTGACTTCGGTGATCTGCTGGGAACCGTGTCCCAACGATCAGTCCGCTGTGGGACTGTTTACAGATGTACGTCGCATTAGAGCTGCACAATAGGCCATTGGCGACGATCTGGGAAAAGATCCCTAGGATGATCCGAAGACATGGCATCGCAATTTTGATCCCCTGAAGAGGGGATGGATCCCTGCTTTGGTGGCCCGATGACTTGAGCGCAATAATGCCAAAAGTTAATTCTTATTTTTTTAAAAAATTTATTTTATTTTTTTATTTCCTTTTCAATATTTTAACATGAACAAAGTATTCTTTACCAGAAAAATTATTTGTAATTTTTACACAGCGTTTAATATTTATTTAAAAGAAATAAAAAAAATAATAAAATTTTATTCATTTTATTTAATATTTTTTTAAAAAATTTCTTTTCCAATATTTCAACGTGAATAAAGTGTTCTTTACCGAAAACTCTGTACATAATATAAACTTATGATTTTTGAACTCGGCCAGAAATTATAGTTTATTATACTAAGCAATTTTTTTATGTATGATATAAAACACTCCCCCTTGCAAAAATTTAGGTTTTTTTGAGGTTTACATAAGGTTGTTTTGAGGTGTATTCGTAGTTGATTTCTAAAATTAATTTTTCCACACTTCAATCAAATACGTATATTTGAGGTAAAAAAAATTTCACTCAATCTAAACTGAAAGTTATTTCTGAGTTATTTTAGTTATATTATTATAGTTATAACTGGTTAATTTTATGGTGCAAATGTTGTTGTAATTAATGGTGCAAATGTTGTTGAAATTGAGGTTTATTAATGAGGATAGATTTGATTCGAAACATAACCTCATTCTCTGCCTCAGGTGTATTTTTTCATCCGCCAACCTTAATAACACCTTACTTTTTTGGAAGGGGGGTCACAGTACCCAAAAAATGACAAAAATACCAAAAAATTTTTTATTGCTTATAATAAAACTTCAAAGTATTTCAAATGTACAGAAAAAAATTCATCTCTCTATCTACATTTTTAAAAAAGTTATGAATGATTTTAAATTGTTCTAATACAGAAACTTGCTCAGCAGTCTGACTTTAAAGTGCTTTTTCGCATAGATGATAATTTTGTGTCTTAATCTTAATTAAATCCCTAAGGAATTTTTTCTATTTAAGATAAAGCTTTGAAGTAAACTTTTTTATATTGAGTATAATACACTTATTTAAACTGTGCATGGAATAAGCATTTTATGAGGTATTACAATTTTTACGGCATGTTATATATACCTAACAGGAATTTTTACCCTTTTTTTTCTACTTTTTTACAAATTAATCTATAAAAAATATTCTAATTGATATATCAACAAATGAATGCACAAAATTATTAAGATAAATACTGCAAGCACTATGAAAAAAACTTTTTTTGAAAATATGTTAAAATAAAAAAGCCTTAGGGATTTAAAAATTTAGAATTTTTTCAACTTTTTTTAAAATTTAAAAAAAATTAAACAGTTTAATTACTTTTTGAAGATAAATTATTGATTATAACTTAAATGAGCATGTAAAGCATCCTCAAAATGAATGATTATACCTTTATTTTAAAAAATTGTTGCAAAGGTACTGTGACCCCTTGCACGGCTTGCCAATCATTTTTAAGAGGTCGCTAAGTTTTTAAAAAACAAACATACTTTGAAGTATTTAAATCCGCTAAAAATAAGTGGAAGCAAACTTTCTGAAATTTTCACTACTCTTGAGATAAATTCGACACCACTTTTAAATTTTACCAAAATGTGAGTACCCTGCAATTGGTCATGTATTCTAATGAATTCCTTGGATCTGAAAAGGATAATTAAAACATTTAAAGCAGGTCACGTAAAAATAAGTTTTTGAAACTTCTGAATTCCATACAAAAGTTTAGGAAACGATAGTAAAACTACTTCATTTCCGTGAGTTCCACAAACAATTCAATTTTCAGTGATTCAATATACATGTAATCAGTATTACAATCGATCGTCGAATTTTTTTTTAAAATTGAAGTTGTAGCTGTTGAAACAAGTTTGAGCCATCTTTTTGCCTACCACTTTTTAAACCTTCTTTTAGAAAATTTGCCAGCGTGTAATGTGATAAATACTATTTTTTTGCATCTTTTTTCCAGAAAGACACAAAATTAATTTTTCACACCATTACGAAGAATTGGATTTGAGCAAAAAAGTTAGGGATTTGTAATTTCCCAAATAAAATTTTTTTTTTTTTTAATATATATGACCTTTCCTATGCTAAACTATCGTGAAAATATCATAAAACGAGTTAAAAAAATAATATACTATAAACAAACTAATTTTCCGGAATTTTTCCTCTTTTACACATTATTTGAAATTTCCAGAACAAATAAATTTTTTTTTATACATAGGATCTTTTAATATATCGAAAAACACGTTAAATAAATAATATAATGTAAAATACACATAAGAAAATTTTTTTAAAAATTCACCACAGCCCAGGTTCGGAACCGTCCCCCCTCGCTGCAATCGCAAGTCACTAGCGCATGGACTTAGCCATTGGACCACGCTTATACGGGGTTCGTGCTACTACATAGCTTTAAATGCCCTCTCTCGGCTAGGTGAACAAAAGACGTAAGGGATAATTGCGACCTCCCTAATCTATCTATAAAATTGTACTTTAGTAGCGTGGTTCGGTTCATAGAGACCTACTTTCGGCCCAAGTTTGAAAATTATAGCTTAATATTCAAGGGAGTTAGGTGGTCTTGAAATTTGAGCCTTTTTCCAGCCATTTTATTTTATTCTATTTTATATTCCATTATGCGTTCTTCTGCAAAGAAGGAAAACTGATTTTATACATAGAACTCCTTTCCTATGCTAAACTGTCGTGAAAATATCGTAAAACGAGTTTAAAAAAATAATATACTATAAACAAACTAATTTTCCGGATTTTTTTCTGTTTTTAAGCATTAAGTGAAATTTCCCGAACAATAAAATTTTTTTTTATACATAGGATCTTTTAATACATCGAAAAACACGTTAAATAAATAATATAATGTATAATAAACAAAAGAAAAAAAAATTTAAAATTTGACCACAGCTGACGTTCGAACCCGTCCCCCCTCGCTGCAATCGCAAGTCACTAGCACATGGTCTTAGCCGTTGGATCACGCTTATGCGGGGTTCGTGCTACTACATAGCTTTAATAGCCCTCTCCCGGCTAGATAAACAAAAGACGTAAGGAATAACTGCGACCTCCCTAATCTATCTATAAATTTTTACTTTAGTAGGGTGGTTTGGTTCATAGAGGCCTACTTTCGGTCCATGTTTGAAAATTATAGCTTAATATTCAAGGGAGTTAGGCGGTCTTGAAATTTGAGCCTTTTTCCGGTCATTTTATTTTTTTCTATTTTTTATTCCATTATGCGTACTTTTTCAAAGAAAGAAAATTGATTTTATACATAGAACACCTTTTCTATGCTAAACTGTCTTGAAAATATCGTAAAACGCGTTAAAAAAAATAATATACTATAAACAAATTAATTTTCCGGGTTTTTTAATGTTTTTAAACATTATTTGAAATTTCCAAAGCAAATAAATTTTTTTTATACATAGGATCTTTTAATACATCGAAAAACACGTTAAATAAATAATATAATGTAAAATAAACAAAAGAAAAAAATTTTAAAAATTCTCCACAGCCCAGGTTCGAACCCGTCCCCCCTCGCTGCAATCGCAAGTCACTAGCGCATGGTCTTAGCCGTTGTACCACGCTTATACGGGGTTCGTGCTACTACATAGCTTTAATTGCCCTCTCCCGACTAGCTAAACAAAATACGTAAGGGATAATTGCGACCTCCCTAATCTATCTATAAATTTTTACTTTAGTAGGGTGGTTTGGTTCATAGAGACCTACTTTCGGTCCAAGTTTGAAAATTATAGCTTAATACTCAAGGGAGTTAGGCGGTCTTGAAATTTGAGGGTTTTTCCCCCCATTTTATTTTTTTCTATTTTTTATTCCATTATGCGTTCTTCTTCAAAGAAAGAAAATTGATTTTATACATAGAACGCCTTTCCAATGCTAAACTGTCGTGAAAATATCGTAAAACGAGTTTAAAAAAATAATATACTGAAAATAAACTAATTTTCCGGGTTTTTTCCTGTTTTTAAGCATTAATTGAAATTTCCCGAACAAATAAATTTTTTTTTATACGTAGGATCTTTAAATACATCGTAAAACACGTTAAATAAATAATATAATGTAAAATACACAAAAGAAAAAAAATTTAAAAATTGACCACAGCCTAGGTTCGAACCCGTCCCCCCTCGCTGCAATCGCAAGTCACTAGCACATGGTCTTAGCCGTTGTACCACGCTTATACGTGAATCGTGCTACTACATAGCTTTAATTTCTCTCTCCCGGCAAGCTAAACAAAAGACGTAAGGGATAATTGCGACCTCCCTAATCTATCTATAAAATTTATCTTCAGTAGGGAGGTTTGGTTCATAGAGATCTACTTTCGGTCCAAGTTTGAAAATTGTAGCTTAATATTCAAGGGAGTTAGGCGGTCTTGAAATTTGAGGGTTTTTCCCGCCATTTTTTTAAATTCTATTTTTTATTCCATTAAGCGTTCTTCTACAAAGATAGAAAATTGATTTTATACATGGAACACCTTTCCTATGCTAAACTGTCG